ACATCATTAGATAATCATCTCTTATTCTACCATAATGGATACTAGTGAAAAATCCTGCAATTTATTGTTTGGATTCAAATAATAATATAACCTAGAATGTGTACTCCGTGAAAACAGACAATTATTGCAAGTTCTAGTCTTTTTGCAGATTTTTGGTTTGCTTTACGACATATACAGTGAAAGCTCCCATAAGCGGACACTCACGGTTCCGTAACTTTTGTCCGCTTATGGGAGGTGTCCGTTTAAAAGAGAGTATGTAAGTATAGAGTATAAATAACGGGGTATATAATCATGAGGAAATGAGGTATTATAATCACGAGAAAAATGAAACAGAAACTCGCCACATTTTTAAAGTATGTATTTATGCTATATATCTATATAATATATGTACATATACGCATACAAAAACATAAATACTTCAATACATGGTACGAGAATTTAAAAAAAACATTATTCTTCAGCTTGTTGAAAAAAGTTTAAAATGTTTGTCTGACGAAATTTCACCATCTTTTGCTGAAGGAGACAATTTTCGTAATAACTTTCTAAATTTTTCAAATGTTGAAATGCAGTGAAATCACCTTTAGCAAATTTTTTCAATATAGAAATATGATTTAGAGCTTCCCCATATGAATTTATCGTTTTTGAACCGCTTAGTGAGTCCACCAGTTCCACTTCTTCTTCTGAGTCGTTTGGACTACCATATTCAAGTTGGCCTGGGCTTTCTACATCCAAATTCGAAAAGTTGCCAATGGCATTTTCTTCTGTTGTTATGTTATTGTCTATGGCCAGGAAATCATCTACTTTCTGGGGATCTGCTACTCCTAAATGTTTGGCATGTCGCAGTAACTGAGCAAGTGTCGCTAAGGGCAGATCGTCTTCAGCATCGCAATAATTTTGCTCAGCAAATTCTGAGCTACATTCACTTTTTCTGAATCCAGCTTTGCCAAAACAGTTTTTAATTGTAGAGGAATTTACTTTATTCCATGCTGTTTTTATAAAATACAAAGCTTCTAACACATTGATAGACTTTGTAAGCTCAGATAAGCTTTGACCATCGTCAATTTTTGTTAAAATATGTTTTAAAATCAAGTGCCGATAATAAAATTTAAAGTTCTGTATGACACCTTGATCCATGGGCTGACAAACAGAAGTTGTGTTTGGCGGTAAAAATATAATTTTCACATTTTTCATTTTCATATCACGAGGATGAGAGCATGCATTGTCTAAAAATAAAAGAACTTGCCTTTTTTGGATTCTCATTTTCCGGTCGAATTCGACTAACCACTCAGACATGATTTCTCGGGTCATCCATGCCTTTTTGTTGGATTTCCAAGTCGCTGGTAGATCCTTAATAGCACAGAATAAAATGGTTAGTCTATCTTTAGACAACTTTCCACCCACACATGTTTCTCCTTTAAAGGACAGAGTTTTGTCGGGCAATGCGCGAAAAAAAAGTCCACTCTCATCTGCGTTGTACACATCTTCTGGTTTGTAGCCAAGCAACATGGACGGAAGTTTCTCCAAAAATTGTGACACATCAACTTGATCTACTGCAGCAGCTTCGCCAGATTTGCATTTGAAACTCACACTATGTCTCTTGCGCCACTTTTGCAGCCATCCGTCGGACGCACTGAAATTATTATAGCCCAAAGTAGTGGCGATTTCTTTAGCTTTCATTTTCACTAACGGCCCTGAGATTGCAATGTTCTGACTTCTAGCTTTCACAAACCACTCAAAACATGTTTTGTCTATAGCAAAACCTTCCTTTTTTAAAAAATCCTTCTTTTGATTTATATTAGTTCCTGATTCCCATTTACTCCTGATATCTTCCTTATTTTTGGCAATTTCAGCTGCTTGCGTTTTCCCAATATTAAACCTCTTTGCCAAATGACGAACTGAAACACTTTCTCTGTCTAATACGTTAACAACTTCCATCTTTTCCTTTAACGAGAGCATCCTTTTTTTTGGTGCCATTTTACAGTTACAATAATAAAATACGTAACTCAATCAACTACGAATTTGCCTGAACTGAAGACAAGCCACAAGATTACATACAGGCTACCCAACGAAATGCGTAAATTGGGAATCACCTAATATAAATCGGGGAATTACCGAATTTTATGTATGTAGATATGTGCATTGCAATAAGCGGAACTAAAAAATCGCCCGCGTCCGCTTATGGGAGATTTTTTGATCACATACAGGAAAATCTAGTGTCCGCGTCCGTTTATGAGAGCGTCCGTTTATCGGAATGCATTTAACATTGAAAATTGATGGCTGAAATTCGGTTCCAGGAACTTTGTCCGGTTAAAAGAGCTTATAGGAGCTGTCCGCAAGGAGAGCTTTCACTGTATTTGGGTATTTCTCAATCGCTGTAAATATAGTATGGATGTTTGTTAGCTGCCTGAACAACGAAAAATATTCAACTTTATGGTTGGATGGCTATCAAAAATCCTTACTGGTTTTGTAAGAATATCAATATGTGGTGCCATGGCGGTACTGATGAACGGCAAGTAACTGAATGAATGTTTGGAGACGAGCAATATCTATTAAATTCTTGGTAGAGTCATTGTCATCAAGCAGGTGTTTAATAGCTATCTGCAAGAGATTTATATAAAAAACGAACAGTAGGTGATGTTAAATGAGTAAAATTGCATATCAATTGCCGAAAATAATATTTGTATAAACAATCAACAATAGTAGAAAAACATGAATTGTATTAAAAAATCAAACATTTTTTAAATTTTGACTGACTTATATGTAATTTCTTAATATTCAGTAAGCTGATGATGTTTCAATGACACGCTGTCATCTCACACTTTGTAAATACATATTTTGTTTTCAATATTTTACAGCTATTGCTAAAATTTGTTGAATGGATCTGAAAGCTCATTCGCTATATTTGACGTACCGTATTGGTGGAAAATAACGGCTTGGACAACCCTCCATTTTTAAAGATATCAAATAAATATAAGGTTATGAAGTACCGATAAAGAGCTTATACTATAACTATCTAAAACTGTAATGACTCATCGATGTTCACGTGAACATCACTTAACTACCAGTAGTCGGCTGTTCATAGGCGGGGTATGAATGTTTAACATGGGTGAACTAGATTTGTCACATTCTTAATAAAGAGTGGTTTGAAACATATTGTAAGTCAAAAATTTGGGAATTACCTTTATTCATCATCGCTTCCACTTACATCTGACAGTAATAAACTGTCGCTATCGCTTTCCTCGTTGACATTGACTATAACTGGCTCTATGATGGTGTCGATGTGGTGGTCAAGCTGCCACATTTTTGTTTCTTCCTTCACAACATGACGGATAGCATTCTGCCAAGCTTCGGGCGTTACTAGCTGTATGGAAGTCTCAAGTAAAACCTTAACGTCTGGTAATTTGAAGGTTGTGTTATGGCGCGCAATATAGCCCTTCACTTGAGCCCAGATGAGCTCTATTGGGTTCAGTTCACAGTGGTAGGGCGGTAACCGCAGCACAGTGACACCACATTGACGGGCCATCTCATCAGTCACGTAACTAATGTTCGCAGGTTTGTGCTGTTTAATTTTTTCATACAATTCCGCTTTCACACATGAATCGTCAAACGGGATTCCTTTTTCGCGCAACCATTGCTGCATGTCACTTTTTCGAGATCCCATAGTCGGTACACGTTCGGCTCGACGACTATGGTAGGAAGCATTATCCATGACGATCACAGAGTTGGACTCAACTCGCTGAAGCACCCCTTGAAACCAGCTTTCGAAGCAGCTGGCATTCATTTCGTCATGGTAATCACCTCCTTTCTTAGAGACGAAAATCAAGTCACACTCTTCTAAAAAGCCACTATCGCTACCAATAAGAGTTACGATAAATCTTTGACCTTCCCCTGACGGTCCACGAAGACCTGTTGACAAACCTTCAATGCTTGCTTGTCGGTTACTTACTACGTTTTTGTCTATCCAGGTTTTTTTAACTGTGTGACCTGCATTTACCCATGTCTCGTCCAAATAATAGATTTTTCTGCTTTGTCGCCTATATTCAATCATTTCGCGTAGGTATTTTCGACGCCAGGCGACTATTTCAGGTCTGTCTATCAATTCTGACTTCCGATTACGCGTTTCGTAACGAAAATTAATTTCGTGCAGGGATTTCCTCATTACCTCGACGCTCATCTGGGGTATAATTTCACTTTCCTTGATCGCTGCATGTACAGCCTTGAGGGTTGGTATCTCATTCCTAAAGAAGAATAAATGTACGGTTCGCCTTAACGCCATTTTGCTATCGTCATCCAATTTAACGGCCTTTCGTCCCTTCAAATTAAACTTTGGATCAGTAGTAGCTCCAGTTTTCTTCTTTTCATGCACCACCCTGCGAATGGTCCACTCTGGAACGCCTGTCATACTTTCACAACGCGCGAGTGCATCTCCCTGCGACATAGTTCTGTTCAGATAATTGAACACGTTGAGCACGATTTCTTTCGCGTCTCTCTTCAGTGCTTTACGAAGCCGTCTACTTGTTCCCTGGCTTTCAGTACTTCCACTCGTGCCATTTGTACTATCCATGGTTAAGTATAACCAAAACAGTAACCACAGAAACCACAACAATAACAATCACACAACAATTCTTATAAAAACACACAATATGCGATCGCTCAACGAAACACGTTCCAATGCGTTGCCGATGCCTATGAGTCTGCCGGTCGAGGCGCGTCTTTGATTTCATTGGTTCTACCGGCGGAGAACAATCAGCCATTATTTCCATCTCTGTCTGTGCTGTTGACCACCGTAAAGCCACAGAAACGACATATTTCGTACGCTATACGGCTGTACTGGAAGGAAGCCGGGATCGAGCTCTGATCACGTGTTGATCACGCGTATGAGTCATTACAGTTTTAAATAGTTGTAGTATAGTATCTCAATACATAGTGTGTATCTTAGTGACAAAATATTTTGAAATTTTTGTTAGAACAAGAAAATATGAATGTTTTATTTCTTGCAGGCTCTGGAACATCAGTTTAGCAAACGCCTACCAGCTCCAGAAGATAAACTGCAGTCCACGGCCAATGCAATGTCGAGTTCGATCGCTTCGTCTCTAGATGAAGGTGTCGGATTTGTGGTTGTATCGTCTCCTTCAAGTTCGGAAAAAAGTAAAAATACCGCTACAATCACCATCAACTCGAACATGCCGGACACGTCCAATAGCCTTGCTTCAAATATCAGTCAGGTAAATAAAATGTCGAATGCCATATAAATCAGTTGAAATATATTTGTAATTGAGACAACATAGTAGCATAATATACTAACATATAAATCCGAACACCCAGTTTAAATGGTTTTATTTTAATGAAATTTTGTATAAGTACTTAATGAAGCATAATAAGTAAATGATAAAAATTTCAAAATGATTGCACTGCTTTAAAACCCTTTGACCTTTAATAATGTGTGGATGCATCCTGATGTGCTACGCATTCTCCAACGCGCTTAGGCATGCTTCTGATCAGGTGGTCAATGTCCTCCTGTGGTATCTCATTCCAGGCAACCACCAACTCTTCTCGAAGTGCTTCTAGAGTCTGAGGAGGACGTTGCAAATTGAGCAATCTCGTACCCATCATATCCCACACGTGCTCAATTGGGGATAAGTCGGGAGATCTTGGTGGCCATGGTAACAATGTGACATCATTATGTTGAAAGAAATCTATTGTGACTCTTGCAACATGTGGTCGGGCATTATCTTGTTGGAAAGTTGGATCTGCCAGGGTGTCAAGATAGGGTAAAAGATGGGGTTCTAGAACTTCGTGGATATAACGCTGCGCGATCATGTTACCTCTGATGAAGATTAAAGGTGACCTGGAACCATAAGCTATAGCACCCCAAACCATAACTCCAACAGTGTGATGAACATGTCTTTCAACAAAAAACTGTGGATTCCTCCTTTTACAACGTCGCCTTCTAACCCTGGCACGACCATCGTGCATGCCTAAACAAAATCGAGACTCGTCACTAAAGACAATACCGCCCCATTCCTGATCCCAGAGTGACCGTTGTCTGCTCCACTCAAGGCGATTACGTCGGTGTTCTCGAGTTAAAGGGAGGACCCAGTGTGGCCGGTATGAAAACAAGCCAAAACTTCTCATTCGTCGGTAAACACTTCGCATGCCAATAGGTCTTCCGTGTTCTGCAAACCATTCATTTGCAATGGACCTGGTAGTGGAGAAACGGTCCCTTAAGGCCAATAATCTTAGGCGGCGATCTTCACAGTCTGTTGTTCTACGGCGGCGTCCAGTGCCCCTTGCTCTTTGCATACGGCCTTCTCGAAGCCATGCCTGACAACACCTAACCACAGTGTCTACACTTCTTTGCACTCTAACTGCATTTGCCCGAAAAGAAAGTCCAGCTTCCCGAAGTCCCAGTATACGGCCCCTATCAAACTCACTAAGTTGACGAAATCGTACAGGTCGCCGTACTCTAGGCATCGTAACCGATCGTACAGGATGTCAAGAACCAAAATCCGCCAACGTTGATTCTTTACTGCGGCTGAAATATTCATTTTTAGAGCGTTAGTGAATTAAAAAAAACCAGTATAAAAACCGGAATGTCCAACTGATAAGGCTGAACATTTTTTCACTTGTTATTTACAGTAAGATAATTACATTCACCAACTTTTATTAAAATAAAACCATTTAAACTGGGTGTTCGGATTTATATGTCACTTAGTATAGTTGCATCTCTACTTAGATTATACATATTTTTTACTTAGTCATGCCAAGATGACTGAAAGTCCGGGCTATTACGTAAACAACCTATACATGGTGTCCCAGAAATAACACGCTAGAGTGGTTTTGGAGGTAGTTGGCTGCAGATCAATCAGATAAAATCAACATGACCTTAATAAAAGTTTTTCTCTCACTTTTAAGCGTTTTTTTCAGAAATTACTACTTCTTGCTCTTTTTTGCCAGTTATGGCTATACAGAACATTTAGCTTATGTTTTTTCCTGGGCTATCATTAATTATTGCATTTTGGTCATTAATTATGATTGATTGTTCGATCATCTACTACTGTAATATTAACTCTTTGTGAATAAAAGTTATTTTCTACTTTTGAATTTGGTTAGCTATAAAAGCATTTTTTTTTTTAGTTTTTTAAACTATTATTTATTTTTAGCTAAAGGTTCTGAGGCGTCACTTCTAAGGGTGTTTATGATGCTGGAATAATGGTATACATAGGTATTGTAATTTTTGGTGACAACAGTAGGCTATCAAGTTTTGCCTCGGATAAACACGAAAAAACTGCTGACAGGTGCTGTTAATTTTTCAAACCATTTGTAATTCAAATTTGCGCGTTTGTGATTGGTAGAAATTAAGACGAGAGAAGAGAATCTGTTTTTTTTTTCTACTGGTAATTCTGTATTCTTTGGTTATTCAAAGTTATTCAAATTCAAAAACCAATATAACTTACAAATTAAAAACAACAGTACAATTTAAATAAAAAAAGCTTCAAAAATACATGAGCTTGTATGCTCTTGCTACCCTGAATAACCAAGATTGCAACAGAAATCTGAGCAAAGATACTAGCATCAGATCTAGAACCAGCAAGTAACGGTATATGAATTGTGAAAATTCTGTATACTTTCGTAAAGGGTAAATGTCTGGATCTTGTCGTCACAAATCCTAAATTACGTTTCTGCATAAACAAATCTAAAATTCATAACAATAGTACAGAAGCATACTAAAAACACTCAGAAGTATAAATATAGAGTCATAAAATATGAATATCTGAAATATGATAATAGAGGGATATTTCGAGTAAGGTCAAACTATGTTGTTTAAACAATAAAAATTTTGCGTAAAGGTTAAGCAGAGAAACAAGAGTACTACAATTTACTACAAAAGAATTTACTACAAAATAATAGACACCTAAGCTATAAGCTTGTGTGTGTGATACATTATTATAGTATGGGGTTGTCCAAAACGGATGCAGGAAAGTAAACGCATATTAAAACAAGAAAGATTGATTATCAAATCAAGTTGGGTACTTTATTTTGAAGGTTCATTTATACCATTTATGTATGAAAAATAATATCGCTCAAATGTTCACCACGACTGGATTTACAGACATCCACGCGATGGTCGAAATTTTCAATGACATTTTGCAACATGGTCGGTTCTATGGCATTTATCTCGGCAACGATGTTGTTTTTGAGTTCTTGGAGGCTGGTTTGTTGACGTAGACTTTGCTTTTCAAATATCCCCATAAAAAGAAGTCCAAGGGAGTCAAATCGCACGATCTTGGTGGCCATGGCACATTTCCTCTGCGCGAAATCACGCGATCACCGAAGAAGGACTGCAATCGATGGATATTGACGTTGGTTGTGTGGCATGTTGCTCCGTCTTGTTGGAAATAAACATCGTCCATATCCATTCCTTCAAGTTGCGGCAAAAAATAGTCCTCTATCATCACGTGATATCACTCAGAATTGACGGTAACGGCGTCCCCGGCCGCATTTTCGAAAAAGTAAGGTCCGATGATGCCGTTTGACCACAATGCACACCACACAGTCACTTTTTGAGGATGCATCGGCTGCTCTTGATACTCACGGGGATGCGGCAGTTTTGCTTGTTTACCGTCCCATTCAAAGTTAAATGCGCTTCGTCGCTGAACATGATTTTTGATGAAAAATTGGCATCAATTTGGCGGTGTTCAAGGAGCCAATCTGAGAACGTTCGGCGCGAAAAATGGTCGGCCTGACGCAGCTCTTGCGTCAATTGGATCTTGTAGGCGTGTACATTCAAATCCTTGTGGAGAATGGGGAGCAAACTGGTTCTCGAAATGCCCAATTCTTGGGATCGACGCGTTGTTGATTGTTTCGGATCGTCTCTGACACTCTCCTTCACAACAGCAATATTTTCCGGTGTGCGAACGCTCCTTGGCCGGCCAGAGCCTGGCAGATTTGCCACAGAACCTGTTGCCTCGAATTTACGCACCAGACGACCGACGGTTGTTTCGTTTGGGCGGTTGTCGCGACCGAAACGTTCACGAAGCGCGCGAAACGTGTTTTTTATTTTTGCACCATTTTTGTAGTGCTCTTGAATAACTTTAATGCGGTCTTCAATCGAATACGACTCCATAGCGATCAATGGTAAACATTCAACTAACAAAATGACATGTCGGTGACAGAAAACAAAGATGGCGTCTATGTCAAATTGACGTTTACTTTCCTGCGTCCCTATTGGACAACCCTTTACTTGACATACCCATGTGATAATTTTGTTACCAGGTGACAGTGGTGACAACTCATCCACCAGTAATCATAGACAACTCGATTCCTCGACCTCACTCTACCTCCCCGAGTAGCAATAGTGCCAATGAGGTTGTGATTGTGGCCAATGAAACCAACAGGACACATCTGGAATCCTCTGATGACGAGTTTTGTCCGTCGTTGGACTCCTTGGAATATCCACCGCCTGGAGAGTTCAGTGACAGGCCACCAGTAGCTCTAATTTCAGGTAAATGCGATGCTTATTTCAAGAATAAGGTTCCAAAAAAAATATGGGATCTTTATTTTTTAAACAACTCTCGTAGCACCCGTAGTTTCCGTGTTCTTACATATAGAATATAGAAAGATGCAAATTGCTGCGGTTCGAGAAAGAATCTGTATACTAAGTGACATATAAATCCGAACACCCAGTTTAAATGGTTTTATTTTAATAAAATTTTGTATAAGTACTTAATGAAGCATAATAAGTAAATGATAAAAATTTCAAAATGATTGCACTGCTTTAAAGCCCTTTGACCTTTAATAATGTGTGGATGCACCCTGATGTGCTACGCATTCTCCAACGCGCTCAGGCATGCTTCTGATCAAGTGGTCAATGTCCTCCTGTGGTATCTCATTCCAGGCAACCACCAACTCCTCTCGAAGTGCTTCTAGAGTCTGAGGAGGACGTTGCAAATTGAGCAATCTCCTACCCATCATATCCCACACGTGGTCAATTGGGGATAAGTCGGGAGATCTTGGTGGCCATGGTAACAATGTGACATCATTATGTTGAAAGAAGTCTATTGTGACTCTTTCAACATGTGGTCGGGCATTATCTTGTTGGAAAGTTGGATCTGCCAGGGTGTCAAGATAAGGTAAAAGATGGGGTTCTAGAACTTCGTGGATATAACGCTGCGCGTTCATGTTACCTCTGATGAAGATTAAAGGTGACCCGGAAGCATTTTAACACTATGGTATAGGGTTCGGCACCAGCCTTAATTTTATTGGTCAATTTCAATTTATTCAACCAATGACAAGCCGGGTGCCGAAATCATTACCGGAATGTTAAACAGTGCTGAAAACAGTGTCAGAACGTTATCAATTTAAATTGCTTTTACTAATATATCGAGTGCTGAAATCACTACCCGAATGTTGAGGATTACCGAAGTACAGTTCGGTATTTCGAAGGTCGCCTATGCGTAAGGAAGTTCTTTATCGTTTACGCAGTTTACGTTAGATATTATAACCTCAAAGTTCAAGCGTCATCGTTTTTAATACGTTTCGAGTTGAGCAGAACAATGGAAGGTTGCGTTAAAATAAAAAACAATATATACAGGGGAAAGTTTACAGACGAAGAAGGCACTATGCAGTGGCTGAGAGATTATGAGGTAGAAACTCTTACAACTTGGCGATTCAAATGTGGTATCGCAAATCCGCGTCGCCTTGTATATAGGTAAGTGTATTGTTATTGTAAAGGATTATTTATTTGATTCTAATCACGACCGTAGCTTTTTTATTTTTGGAGCTAGACTTTTTTGAACGTTTTCGAGCTAGATTGTTCTTGTTTGGGTTAGAACTAATTTTCAGAATGCCTACTTCGAAAATTCAAGGCGCACGAAGGGCATAATATTGTTTAAACGAATGCAAAATATATTTTTAACCGACTTCCCAAAAGATGGAGGTTTTCAATTCGTCAGCTATATTTTTTTCTATGTGTGTTTACCGTGTTTTTTTCAAGATGGCTTATCCGCTTATGATAATTATTTTTTAAATGAAAGGGTATAAATGCCTCTGGGGTAGTCCCATATTAATTTGATGAAAAAATATTGACTTCAAAAGAGGAAATCAGTTGATGAAATTATTTTTAAGGCAAATCTGGAGTATTTGTGTGTTAATTTAGTTTTTTGGTCGGGGAGGTTGCCTTCATGAGTGACCCGAAATAAGTAGGGATTACAAGGGGTTGCAAAAGGTTACCGATTGGTCGGCCACCAAAGGAAGAACGCGCACCAAGAAAAAGAAAGAGAAGCACTCAATGTAAAGCAAAATTTACCGAATGCTAAGTCTCATGGAACAGGTCACTAAAACTTATTACATTATTATTAGGTTAATTTTCGAATTTTCTTTTTTATTTTTGAATATTCTTGTTTTTTGAATTTTCTTGTTAATTTTTGAACGGACTAATAAACATTCACATTTAATATGTTTATTTTCTACTACCTTTTCACGAAAAGTGATAATTTCTTCCCTGAAATGATAAATGCTGTACTTGAATGAGAAAATACACTCTGTGTATAGATATTAGAATTTAGCTTCTTACATTACCTGGGAGGAAAATACCACTTTTCCACCCGCGGATTATTTATACAAAAATCCAAAAAAAGTATATGATTTTAGATTTTTACATTTCCTTGGATTCTTTTTAAATTCAGTTATTTTCTATAATATATAATTTTAAGTTTTTCATAGGATTTTTCTTATTGCTAAACCAAATTATTAATTTTAAAATCATTAAATATCGTAATAGGAAACAACGTGCGTTGATTATTATCTTACGTATCTTTAGCGGAAGGTAAGTAAATTTAAATTTAAATTGATAACATTCTAACCCCATGCTCAGCACTGTTTAACATTCCGGTGGTGATTTCGGAACTAGGCTTGTTATTGGTTGAATAAACTGAAATTGGCCAATAAAATTAAGGCTGGTGCCGAATCCTATACCACAGTGTTAAAATGCGACCCGGAACCATAAGCTATAGCACTCCAAACCATAACTCCAACAGTGTGATGAACATGTCTTTCAACAAAAAACTGTGGATTCCTCTTTTCACCACGTCGCCTTCTAACCCTGGCACGACCATCGTGCATGCCTAAACAAAATCGAGACTCGTCACTAAAGACAATACTGTTCCATTCCTGATCCCAGAGTGACCGTTGTCTGCACCACTCAAGGCGATTACGTCGGTCTTCCGTGTTCTGCAAACCATTCATTTGCAATGGACCTGGTAGTGGAGAAACGGTCCCTTAAGGCCAATAATCTTAGGCGGCGATCTTCACGGTCTGTTGTTCTACGGCGGCGTCCAGTGCCCCTTGCTCTTTGCGTCCGGCCTTCTCGAAGCCATGCCTGACAACACCTAACCACAGTGTCTACACTTCTTTGCACTCTTAACTGTAATTGCCCGAAAAGAAAGTCCAGCTTCCCGAAGTCCCACTATACGGCCCCTATCAAACTCACTAAGTTGACGAAATCGTACAGGTCTCCGTACTCTAGGCATCGTAACCGATCGTAAAGGATGTCAAGAACCAAAATCCGCCAACGTTGATTCTTTACTGCGGCTGAAATATTCATTTTTAGAGCGTTAGTGAATTAAAAAAAAGCAGTATAAAAACCGGAATGTCCAGCTGATAAGGCTGAAAATTTTTTCACTTGTTATTTACAGTAAGATAAATACATTCACCAACTTTTATTAAAATAAAACCATTTAAACTGGGTGTTCGGATTTATATGTCACTTAGTATAGTTCAAGCGCAACGTATTTATTGAGCCACAGAGTAATATTTGCGCTCTCCAATACACAAATAACTAATTCACGTTTTTTTTAACATGGTTGGCAGGTCATCAGCATCCATTGAAGGCTAAACGGCTCGATGAAAGCGAGGTTATGATCACAGATTCTAGCTATGTGGTGGACGATTCTGGTCTGGATATATCGGAAGAGAATTCTAGGTTGTTAGATACTAGTCATGTATCCGTCGTGAAAATTGACGAAGAAAAGGTATTTCCGTTTATGCTGTAGGCTTTTTAGTAACAATTATTTATGCTTTACGAATTTATTAATACGTGTATATAAGACTCATTTTGCATGTTGCGTTTTTTACTTTTTTTATTTTTCACTCTACGGGGTGGCTGAACGAAAAGGTCGCACCCCCATTTGTGACTTTCCTAGTATATTTTGAGGAAAACGCTCAGACACGTGAATTTATTATCACAATTTTAGAATTTCATTATAAACACAAATAGATTTGTCCCTTAACAAAGCATTGATCCGAACAGAGTGTTTTTTCTAACAGATCACACTGTTCTATATTCTATTTTCAGGTTCAAGTGAAGGATTCCACATCATATCTAAGTGATAAATCTGCAGACTATAGGGGATCAATTAGCGATTTAAGTAATACGTCGTCTGGTAAAACGAGCAGTACAAAGAGTGAATATGGAGATGAATATCGAGGTATGTAGTACTATCATCGCAGAAAATATCCTGAAGATAGTATTTGTAGAAACATTCACATCTTTTTCGAAAAACTTGATAACAAATTAGTCAATTAACAGAATGTTATACATAAATGATTTACCAGCCATTGTCAAAAAATGCAAAATTCGGATTTTCGCCGATGACACTATGATTTACATAAGTACTAAAAATATTCAGACTGGTATCTCTTATATAAATGAAGACTTGAAACTTGTCTCAAAATGGTTAGCATCTAACAGACTAAAATTAAATACAAGTAAAACGAAAGCCTTGTTAATCGGAACAAAACTGTACAAATGTTTAACTGAATATTGATGGTGAAGATATTGAATTCGTAGAAAATTTTAAATACCTGGGGGTTTTTGTTGACTCTCGATTAGTTTTTGATATTCATTATGAAAAAGTTATAAATAAGATTAGTAGTAAAGTGGGATATTTAACGAGAGTTTCTGGATGTCTGAGTTCATATAGCAGAAAAATTATCTATAATACCATCGTTCTTCCAAATTTCTTGTACTGTTCGACTATTCTATATTTAGCAAATAATTCCATTTTTGAAAGACGGCAAATTTTACAAAATAAGTGCATGAGAGTAATACTGAATAAAGATAAATATACTCCAATTAGGCAAATGCTATGCAAATTAAAATGGCTCAATATAATCAAATATCTTGTGATTGGTACTAATAGTAGGACAGGGAGACATTTCCAGATCGCAACTTGGTTAAATGGATGAGAACTGGACACTCATTGTATGGAGATGTTTGATTTGATCCACTCAATTATTTTTGTTTGCTTGTTGAAGAATTATTCACCTTTAATCCTACAATATCAATGTTACACAACCAATTAATTACGTCTTTCCTATCATTATTTAACAGCTCTATTGCAGTTTCAATATCTTTTATATAATATTTTGGATTTGAAGAGGGCATTTGAAACGATTGATAGAGATATTTTGTTAGGTAAATTGAAGGCATATGGTATATCCGGAAGTGTTTTAGATTGGTTTAAACATTATTTGTCTAAAAGGATGCAAGTTACAAAAGTTAATGACACTATTTCTTCAAAAATTGAAAATGCGAATTTTAAATATCTTACGGTTTTTTTTGATTCTCGATTCATTTTTGATATTCATTATGAAAAAATTATAAATAAGATTAGTAGTAAAGTGGGATATTTATCAAGAGTTTTTGGATGTCTGAGTTCATGTAGCAGAAAAATTATTTATAATACTATCATTCTTCCAAATTTCTTGTACTGTTCGACTATTCTATATTTAGCAAATAATTCCATTTTTGAAATGTTACAAAGTGCATGAGAATGATACTGTATAAAGATAAATATACTTCAATTAGACAAATGCTTAACAAATTAAAATGGCTCATTGTAAAAAAGTTTATCAAATATCTTGTGTAATGATATTCATTTATAAAGTAAAAAATAATATATTTCCACCAAGTCTAACTAATTTAACAACAAATGCCGACCATCATTTACATAAAATCAGAAATAAAGATGCCCTCCATTTAATGACCAAATAGTATAACATATGCTACAAATCTGTATTCCATCAAGGGTTGATTGAATATAATAAATTATATACAGAAGTAAAAGACCAGAAAAGTTTGACAAAATTCAAAGTAAAATTGCGGAATCACTTGTTAAATCTACAATTATAGCTTACTCAGCACTTATATCATATGGCTTAAATTTACTAATTCTAAGTTGTTTACAATTACAGCAGACGCTCGATAATGTAAACTAATTTAATCCAAGTGTGGTTCACGTTATCGAAATGTTTACATTAGCGAACGTGATTTATATAATATTTGATTTATTAAAAGAAACGTTTAATACATACTATTTATAACAAAATAAACAAATATTCTAACAGCGATAAGTATTTTTTTAATTAGAAGAAAAATAATTAACAATTTTTGATTGCGTAAATTTGCGCTTAGCATTGTTTTCCAATGCCTGCGCCCGTAATTTACGAAGAACTAAAATATCCGTGCATGAAACTTCTTTTCTTTCAGCCCAATCTAAAGCTTGGTTAAAAACTTGTATAGCTTGCGCGTCAGTCACTACACTTCTGACTTCAATGGGATCGTTCTCATCATCCTCACTGTCCATATCTTCCTCCTTATCAGCATCATTCGTCTGCTTAACTTCGTTCCATAAATTAATATCAGCAGGAGTACAAACAATGTTGGGATTCACTGTTTTCAATAAATCAACAACATCCAAGGACACACTAATAACATTATCATTATTGGATCGCAAACGTTCTCAAATTACGCTTAAGGGGACATCGTCTTCTTCATCATCTTCATTATTGGTACAAAAGAGATTGTTCCAACATTTTTGAATAGTTTCCTGGTTAAGTTCATTCCAGGCCATATGTAAATCTAAAACATCTTCTCGTAATGTTACTTTTTTTAAAGTCTCAGATAAGTTTTCAGGATTATTTGATAAGACAGACGAAAGTAGAAACTTCCTATAGTATAGTTTGGTGAGTCTTATTATATTCTGGTCCATCGGTTGAATTAACGGTGTTACGTTGGGCAATATGTTGTTTTCTTCAATATATTCAATGATTTGTTCGTACATGACGAAAATTGACCCATCCCTGCTCTTCAGTTGTTGCTCGGGAGGATGACTTGGTACATTATCCAATAGTAACAACGCTTTTATTGGAAGCTTCTGTTGTTTTAGGAAACCTTTTACCTACAAATTGAAAACACATCTTCAAATTATGAATAGAGCATTTGTGATAATTGATTGTCATACCCGAGGGACAAAGCACCTGTGAAACCATTTCAGGAATATACTGCTAGTCATTCAAGCGGTTTTTGAACAGTCATAATCAACAGGGATATTAACATTTTTAAATGAGCGCGGATTTTTTACTTTCCCAATTACCAGTGGCTTTATTTTGTGTGAACCATTAGCATTAGTGCAGGCTAGAAACGTTATTCGTTGTTTCTCCGGCTTTCTTCCAAATGATGCAGCATAGGTTTTCTCTGGTAACATTTTCCAATAAAGGCCACTTTCATCTGCGTTGTAAATTTGTTCCATTCTTAAATCTGGCTCGGTAATTGTTTTCATCAATTTTTCTTTGAATGGTTGCACTAATTGTGGTTGTGCTGATAATTTTTCACCAGATATAGACAGCAGTCGAATTCCATATCTTGTTTTGAATCGTTCTGGCCAGCCATCACTAGCTACGAAATTTTCAGTTTCTTTCAGTTTTTCATTTAACAGTCTCACTCTCTGTTTAAGTACTTCGCCACTAACTGGGCCATGATTTTCCCGTTGTTTTAAAAACCACTTATACAGGGAATTTGCCATTTTAGGTGCCTTCGCACTTTTTAAAGTTTTTCTTTTTCCCGGACCTCCAAATGTATTGCACGTTCTTTGTAAAATTTGAGTTTTCATACGCTTAATTTTACAGATTGTTGCTTTCGATACTCCATATTTTTTTGCTAACTGTGTCACTCCCGCACCTAGTGCAACTTCGTCTATGATTTTCACTTTCTCATTCAACATTAAACACTTTCTTTTATAGGATGTGGATGCCATAGTCGTAAAATATATTAACGCGTGCAATGTATTCACTTAAGTTCAAAAATGAAATACATACGTACGTATAAACGTATCCTAAACGATCATACGACTGACCGAGTTTGTCGTATTTTATCGCAGAGGTGAATCCACTACACTCTACATCATAAATCGGGGACTCCCCGACGCCCGACATAAATCATCGAGGCTTCAGCATTTTACCGTCGCGCTGTTTCCGTGCACCGAGAGTTGTTTACGTTATCGAGCATACACATTGTTTACGTTATCACGCGTTCCGTTTGATCCTATAGAACGAAGTTTGTGTTTACATTAGCGCAAGTTTTCATTATCCCGTGTTTACGTTATCGAGCGTCTGCTGTATTCTGTTCAGGTAGCCAAACATGCTAAATAAATCTTTCTTCTACTGCTACTATATTAATGTATCATCAGCAAACATTTGAATTTTGCAGTGTTGTGAAACATCAGTAATATCGTGAATATATAAAATAAATAGTAGTGGACTTAATTTGCCAACCTGTGGCACACCTACCGAAATGTTTTTAATTCTTGATAGTGTATTGGCAGTTTTAGTTCTTTGACTTCTATTGATTAAATAATTTTATCATATGTCGAATACTGAACCTTTAAATCCTTAGTAATCCAACCTCGGTAACAATGTCTCCCTACCAACAGTCACAAATGAAATTGAAATCCAAGAACAGTGTTAGTGTAAACCTTTTTTCATCCATATTTCGAATCCATTCTTCTACTACCATATGAATTGCTGTTTCAGTAGAATGTTTTTTTCTGAATCCTGCTCGAAGTTTTATAAATATGTTGTTTTCTTCAATATATTAAATGATTTGTTCATATAAGATCCCTTCTAAGAGCTCGACATCTGGCAGTTATACATGTTCGTAGCTAACTTTTTTTATTCACATTCAAACCATTCTTGACGGCGTTGAGCGGGAAGTGCAGATGCAACGTACTTGACGGTATTGTTTATTTAACTGACCGATTAATTATGCTTTCTAATTGCAGGTACTCTAATTAACCTAGAGGCTTCTCAACCCGCCTCCAATCACCATCGTTCGGCTAACTCCCATCACGTGAGCGGTCCAGTACCGGTGACGAAATCGAATGGACAGTTGGCGTCGGCAGCGATAGCAAGATCGATAAGCAGGGAAGACGTTTATGGAGGAAGGCTTAGGGGGGCCGCGAACGGGGCTAAACCAGGATCAATTGATAGCTGCGAGTCGGACAGGTAAGTCTTTTTAAAAAAAATAACTTTCCTGAAATGTACACAGCCTTGCAAGATGTTAATTGGACGGAGGTGATCAGTGCAGTTAATGTTGATGTCGCTTGTACCGCCTTGTATTCAGTTATCAATAACATCTTTGAGGTCCATGTCCCTAAATGTAAAAATAAAATGTTTTCGTATCCCCCATGGTTCACACGTGAAATTATACTTAATATCAAGAAGAAGGACATAGCAAGAAGGAACTGACGGTACTAAGTTTTCTTATGATCAGTTCAGTAATTTTAGGAAGCTCATTAAGAACCAGATCAGTGTTGCCTACTCCGCTTACGTCCAATCGGCTGAGGAAGCCATTGTCAATGATCCTAGCAAATTCTGGTCATTTGCCCAGATCAAAAAACAGCAATCTAGAATCCCCCAAGGATGACGCTTAACGGCAATGTCTGCGATACGCCTCAGGATATAGTGGACAGTTTTGCTACCTTCTTTTCAACAGTTTTTATCCCGTCTGGTCTACTAGGGTCATCTCCTCCAACAAATAATTCTACCGATATCATTTCTTTAAAAAATACAAGTGAAGAAAACGTAATTAGGGCTTCGAAAAGATTAAAGAACAAAATGACGTCTGGATGTGATGGTATTCCAAGTTTTTTCGTTAAAGATTGCATTCATATACTAGCGAAACCGCTGGCTTCCATATTCAACCTAATTCTAAAATCAGAGACATATCCAAATATCTGGAAGACCTCTAAAATATGTCCTATTCACAAAAGTGGAGATATCTATGATATTTCCAATTATCGCCAAATAGCAATCCTGTGCAATTTCAGCAAATTGTTTGAGATCATCGCTTATGAAACGGTTTACTGCTCGGTTAGGGGTGCAGTCTCTATTAATCAGCATGGGTTTATGAGAGGCAGATCTACGGTCACCAGCTTGGCTCTGATTACTCAGTACATTTCTGAAGTACTGGACGGTCAGGGACAAGTTGATGTCATCTACACAGATATTCAGAAGACTTTTGATCAAGTTGATCATTATGCACTTCTGGATAAGCTTAAAACAGTGGGTATGTCTGATGCAATGCTGTCTCTCATGAATTCATATTTGAAGGATAGAAGGTTATTTGTCGAATATGGTGGTCATAGGTCGAGTTACTATCGGGCCACGTCTGGGGTACCTCAAGGGTCAAATCTAGGTCCATTATTGTTTTTAATATTTATTAATGACTTGTCTTTTGAACTGAAGTGTTTCCATTTGTTTTTCGCTGATGACCTTAAAATCTGCACATCAGTCAAGACAGTCGAGGATTGCGTCATGTTGCTCTAATTTCGTCATGGTGTTCACGAAACTGTCTCAGTTTGAATGTTTCGAAATGTAAAGTTATGACTTATACAAGAAAAGTGAACTATTTAATTTATGATAATTATAACATCAATGGTCAGGTTATATAGTAGACAGACGCACCTCTTATAGAGACCTTAGAGTCATTTTTGATACCAAGCTAACGTTTACTGAGCATATACTCAATATCTCGTCGGCTGCCACTCGACTACTTGGTTTCTGTATCAGAAACTGGAAGGGTTTCTCCAATGTTGATACATTAATGACTTTATTTTTTACTTTTGTCAGGAGCAAGTTGGAGTATGCGACTCTGATCTGGTCTCCTATATACCAAAATTCTGTCGTGATGCTTGAGGCCATTCAACGTAAAGCTTTAAAGTATTTTCACCTTAAATGCACAGGTTCTTATCCAGAAAGAGGTTGTGACCATAATGCCATATTAGAGTCTTTCAATTTGGATTCACTGTCAACAAGACGAAACATATTTGCTTTGTCGTTTTTGTATGGCCTCATTCACAATAAAATTGACTGTCCAAATTTACTTGAAAAAATATGTTTCCGCGTTCCAAGGCTAGGGAGTCGACAACAAATGACATTCTATTGTCAAGCTGGCCGTACAAATGTTATGACAAAATCGCCAATTAATCTCATGTGCTGCGTCATGAACAGTGTTACTGAATCGTGTGATATTTACAGTGACAGTTGTGCATCGATTATTAACTGTTATGTGTGATACTATAGATTTAAGTCCAAGAACCATGTCCCTTTAATTGTTATTTTTTTCAGCGTTTCCTGTAATTGGGTGTCACCTGTTGGAAATAAATAAATAAATAAAATAAATAAATAAATAAACTATGTTCTATAGAGCGCTAATATCTGACGGAGTATTCCTTATCCTAAGAGAAGATTGACAAGGAGAATAAAATTAGAGATAGATTGACTAAAACCCTATGTCGCGAGTTTCCATCACGTTTTGACGTATACTAAGGTGAACAGGTGATCATCGAGTGACATCTTCGTATTAGTCTATAACGTTGGCAATCATGAATCGGCAGGGTTATTAAGTGTGCAAATATGTAGTTCTTTCCGCGTTTGGTCACTGTGAGCGCCACCAAAAGTGTTATCTATGGAGGAATCACTCATCGACACGCTCAGTGACCATGCTGTTCACCAGCATGCTTTGTTAGTTGCAGAATACCGAGATAGTCTGAGACGATGTGACAGCAAGAAAATTGGTTGAGTAGCAAGAGGTTATGTTCAAAGTTATACATTACAGTTTTCCCCTTTTTTTCGTTCTCAAAAACTTTGAGAAGCATTACGGGAAAACACCACCGCAACCGCGTTATGTGTAATTTAACCACATCACAGAAAAATTAGGAATGACGCCTCACACATCAAACATTTTCGCACTGCCTCACATCCATGCGCTGATTTGTATTTTCTACTTGGCATCGTAAAATAAATTTCTATAACATTTAAACGACTGGAAATAAAATTAATGCAAAATAGAATGACCTTTTCACGTTTCACAAATCTTCAAGTCATCGTTGGTTGTCAGAGCGGTCCGTGAGACCTTAGCTCTTGAGTCACAGTGTCAGTTTATAAATCTGTCAGGTCTGGTAACCCAGAAACCATACAATTTTAAGGAAAAAAAGGGAAGGAAAGGAGAGAAGGAAGAACGAGAGCAAAGGGGAAGAAGATAATCTTTTAGGACAGGCAGCGTTTAGGCATTGTTAAAATCACTTCACAGATTTTGATATGGTCTAAAAATATCCGATTTTTTCTTCTAAAGATGTTGTCAAAATGCTCCAAGTTTTGTGCTTGCGAACTTGCTCCACTGTGTAGTCCACTGACTCAAGCAACAGAGGGTTACTGTGCGATCCCGCTAGGCTATAGCGCCGCTGCGCCTGTTGCTTAATGTAGTCCTTTAGGTAAGGGACAACGAGATCTCTAAGTAGAGTTTCGTTAGAGACATACCATGGGGCATCAGCAATAGCGCGCAACGTCCTGCTTTGCAGAACCTGCAGATTTCGCATGTGTGTTTTAGCAATAAAACACCAAGCCGCACATGCCTAAGTCATTGCTGGTCTTATGACCACCTTATAGAGTCGAATCTTGTTAATCAAACTTAATTTTGAACTTTTACATAATAATGAGTAAAGCTGCCGAAACGTAATTTGGAATTTAGTTTTTAGCGCTTCCATATGGTTCCGCCAAGTCATCCCTTTGTCCAGAATGACACCGAGATGTGTCTTCTGATACCTGAGATACCGAAGGCGAAGAAGTAACCGATAGATTAGGCACAGGCTGTTTATTCGAGTCGCTTGCAGTTGAACGAGACGTTTCAGACTGCGATTTTGGTGGAGGGAGAGGAGGAAAGCCTGTCGTGTCGGTCTTGTTTCGTCGCCTTTTACGGGGCTTAACCTTAATAAAACTGTCAGGGAGTGTATCGTCGTCAGTGGAAAGATCGCTTGAATTATTTAACGGTCTTTTAAGATTGACAGCTTTGTCTTTACTGGGATTTTGTTGGAGTGTTTGGGAAGAACGTGTAATGCTTAGATGGGAAGGTACCTGGGTTTTCAGTAGGAGGTCTGATTTAACTGTTAGGTCGGTAATTGTCCGCTGCTGGGCTTCGATGATCATCATCATCTGTTTATGATAATTCCATTGGTTTCTTGTCTCAAACACACTTGAGATTTTCTTATTCAATCGGGAAATTACATATGCAAATTTGCTGAATTTCAAGAATGCAAGCGATAAGAAAAAAACATCTCTGGTTGGTGAAGTATATTGAAAACAGGTGAGAAAATATGGCATATAAAGGAATATTTACGTAGTCGTGCCATAAGTTCTGTCCCATGATAATCTCATGATAAAAATGAAACAAGATAAGATATATTTATATGAAAGATATTATTTATTCGACAACATTTTTAGAATTCATAATCAAACAGTTTTATTCAAAATGTCCCCCCTTGGCCTTCACACACTGCTTCAATCTCGCGGGCCACTCATCTATCACTGCACGCACAGCTTCCAAAGGAATAGCTGCCGCTGATCGGATCAAATCCGCTTTCAGGGACTCGATATTACGGTGGGCTTTGGAGCAGGCCAACTGCTCTAGCAGGTCCCACAACTTGTAGTCTAAAGGATTGAGGTCCGGACTCCCTGAGGGCCAATCTTCCGCAGCAATGAACTCTGGCACATTGCTTTCCAGCCAGCGCTGCGTACTCTTAGCCTTGTGAGCGGGGGCGGAATCCTGCTGGTAGACCCAGTGTTGGTTGGCAAACAATGTACCACTTAAAGGCTTGACGATAGGATCCAGTATGTCGCTCTGATAGTTTGCCGCTTTTGTTTTCACGCCCTGTTTACAGAAATGGAGCTGAGTGACCCCTTCGTAGGACACCCCCCACCAAACCATGACTGACGCAGGGTGGTGGCCTCTCTCAACTCTCGGAATGATCTCCGAAGCTTCCTGTGAACTCCTTGCATACACTTTGTCATTTTGTCGGTTGAATTTTTCTTCTATGGTGAAGATTTTCTCATCCGTGAACAAAATCTTTCGGAATCCCCCAGCTGCGTACCTCTCCAAGAGCTTCTTGGATCTTGTCGCCCTGATGTGTCGCAAGGTGGCCGTAAGTCGCTGGCCCGTACGTCTCCGGTAAGCCCCTAGCCCTAGGTCTTGTTTAATGATGCGCGACATCGTCCGGACAGGAATCTTCATTTCCCTGGATAGGATCTTCTGCTTCCGGAGTGGATTCCTTTGAATCCTGGCTTTTACGGCTTCGATGGCTGCTGGAGTCCTTACTTGACGAGGTCTTCCGCTTCTTGGCCTGTCATCAACAGAGGACGTCTCATTGTACCGCTGAATGGTCCTAGACACAAATTTACGCGATATTTGAAGGCCGCGTAAGAGTTCAAAAATCTGACTAGCACTGTGATTACACTTATGTAAAGCTATCACTGCAATACGGTTCTCTGCCTTGCCCCACTCCATCGTTATGCTTCGAGAGATCAATACAAACTGAGGTATATGTAATTACCCGAAAAGCGCTTAATCAACTGACACCACATTGTAAACAATCGGACAAGTATTAACAGGTCTACACTTGTTTGAAAACGAGGGACAGAACTTATGGCATGACTACGTATAAAACGTAAAAAAGTTATTACATTTCCAATTAATTTGTACTTCCAGTCATTTTAATTTTATATAAATTTATTGTACGATGTCATGTAGAAAAAACAAATCAGCGCCTAGATGTGAGGCACTGCGAAAATGTTTTGTGTGTGATGCCTTTCTCCTAATTTTTCTGTGATGTGGCTTAATTACACAACGCGGGCGCGGTGATTTTCCGTAATGTTTCTCAAAATTTTCGAAAACGCAACAAAAAAAAACGAGGAAAATCGTAATGTATAACTTTAAACATAACCTCTCTTCAAAAAGGACAACACAAATAACCCGTCTGGCACAGTAATAATTTTCTCACAAAGCAAATATCACTGATTTTATATACATACTACTCAACCACACATCTTTTCAGAGTATACTCCAGAGACTATCTCGGCATTCTGCAACCAACAAAGCATGATGGAGCGTTGAGTCGCAGCTTGCAACATGGTCATAGAGCGTGTCGCGTCATTGAGTCATTCCTCCATAGATGGAGTCTCACAGCGTTCATAGCGAACAAACGCGAAACGTGCTATTTGTACACTAAGTACTATCTAGGCAGCAATTTGACATTTCGTTGTTTTTTTTTTGACGTTTTATAGATTTTTTTTGTAATAACTGCGGGCGGCCTACTATGTGGCTTCCTTTAGCGGCTGCTGAAACATGGAAATTAATTAGTAAGGCAAAGAGAGCTACATTAAAAACGGACTGTTGGTCTACTTTATAATCCAATTTCTCCATTTTCCACTCTTCGACGTCATTTACTGTATCGTGAAATTCAGCAAAATGAAAATATCAAAGGGTTATCTTAGCGAGGAAAATATATATTTACGGCATTTGAAAGGCTAAGACTTGTACTTTTAGATGATGCCTATGGTTGTTGTTGAAGATTTATTTAGCATTAATGCTACAATGTCAATTTTCTATAATGATTCGGTTACATATTTTTATTCAATCCATTTTCTGTAATTTTAGATTCTTGTCTAGTAAAATGAAAATTGCGTCACTATGTATTTTGATTATTCATAAAGTGATTTTTTAATTTCACCTTGAACTTTTTTAAATTCGAACTCTGTCTAATATCATTATTCAATTTATTAAATTCAAATTCTAGTTATGTTACTATTACAATTTTGCAGATGAAAATCTATACTGCCTTTCGTTTAGTAGTTATGATAATGACTATTTAATTTTTTGAAGTTCTCTAAATGTGGTGGTAATTCGGCGCTTTAAAAACCTTCGGCATAATATATTGTGGTTTCTGGGTAAAAATCTGTATAATCTAAACAAACACAGACAATACACAAACTTAACAATGAAGATATGTTTGTTTGATTCAGATCTCACAGCGATTGCGGATCTGTGAGAAGCGACGATTCTTCGCGAGGCGGCTTAAGCAGAAGGATTGCAGCAGTTGTGAGGCAGGTAAAGGACCAATCAGACGGTGAGAGTATATCGATCGCCAGTCACGAAAGCAGGGGTAGTAGCAAGGATAAATCTAATGGTAAGTGTATGCCTTCTGTGGATATTGACAAGTTTATAATCAGTAGTCAATTTAAGTGCTGGACTCAATCTGTGGGACCCCCCATTATTTCTAGAATTATTTTAATGGAAACAATCGCTGTTCACGGCCGTCCTCTAAAATGTTATTTAATTTGTTTGTTTATTTAAGATTTATTTAGCATTATTGCTACAATTAGATTCTTTTAAAAGGCTACAATAATTACATCACATGTACGTAGTCGTGCCATAAGTTCTGTCCCATGATAATCTCATGATAAAAATGAAACAAGATAAGATATATTTATATGAAAGATATTATTTATTCGACAACATTTTTAGAATTCATAATCAAACAGTTTTATTCAAAATGTCCCCCCTTGGCCTTCACACACTGCTTCAATCTCGCGGGCCACTCATCTATCACTGCACGCACAGCTTCCAAAGGAATAGCTGCCGCTGATCGGATCAAATCCGCTTTCAGGGACTCGATATTACGGTGGGCTTTGGAGCAGGCCAACTGCTCTAGCAGGTCCCACAACTTGTAGTCTAAAGGATTGAGGTCCGGACTCCCTGAGGGCCAATCTTCCGCAGCAATGAACTCTGGCACATTGCTTTCCAGCCAGCGCTGCGTACTCTTAGCCTTGTGAGCGGGGGCGGAATCCTGCTGGTAGACCCAGTGTTGGTTGGCAAACAATGTACCACTTAAAGGCTTGACGATAGGATCCAGTATGTCGCTCTGATAGTTTGCCGCTTTTGTTTTCACGCCCTGTTTACAGAAATGGAGCTGAGTGACCCCTTCGTAGGACACCCCCCACCAAACCATGACTGGGTGGTGGCCTCTCTCAACTCTCGGAATGATCTCCGAAGCTTCCTGTGAACTCCTTGCATACACTTTGTCATTTTGTCGGTTGAATTTTTCTTCTATGGTGAAGATTTTCTCATCCGTGAACAAAATCTTTCGGAATCCCCCAGCTGCGTACCTCTCCAAGAGCTTCTTGGATCTTGTCGCCCTGATGTGTCGCAAGGTGGCCGTAAGTCGCTGGCCCGTACGTCTCCGGTAAGCCCCTAGCCCTAGGTCTTGTTTAATGATGCGCGACATCGTCCGGACAGGAATCTTCATTTCCCTGGATAGGATCTTCTGCTTCCGGAGTGGATCCCTTTGAATCCTGGCTTTTACGGCTTTGATGGCTGCTGGAGTCCTTACTTGACGAGGTCTTCCGCTTCTTGGCCTGTCATCAACAGAGGACGTCTCATTGTACCGCTGAATGGTCCTAGACACAAATTTACGCGATATTTGAAGGCCGCGTAAGAGTTCAAAAATCTGACTAGCACTGTGATTACACTTATGTAAAGCTATCACTGCAATACGGTTCTCTGCCTTGCCCCACTCCATCGTTATGCTTCGAGAGATCAATACAAACTGAGGTATATGTAATTACCCGAAAAGCGCTTAATCAACTGACACCACAATGTAAACAATCGGACAAGTATTAACAGGTCTACACTTGTTTGAAAACGAGGGACAGAACTTATGGCATGACTACGTAGATATTTAGAAAAACAAAATTCGCATCTTTAAGAATTTTCACTGTCCATGAAATATTCTTTAATTTTCTTTTAAACATCTTTAAATTATAAGTAGACTTTATGTCATTATTCAGTTTATTAAATTCAAGTGATCCTTTGCGAAATATTCATTCGCTAGTTATATTAATTACTATTGCAATTTTGTAATTGAAAATCTATACTAAGTGACATATAAATCCGAACAACCAGTTTAAATGGTTTTATTTTAATAAAATTTTGTATAAGTACTTAATGAAGCATAATAAGTAAATGATAAAAATTTCAAAATGATTGCACTGCTTTAAAGCCCTTTGACCTTTAATAATGTGTGGATGCACCCTGATGTGCTACGCATTCTTCAACGCGCGTAGGCATGCTTCTGATCAGGTAGTCAATGTCCTCCTGTGGTATCTCATTCCAGGCAACCACCAACTCCTCTCGAAGTGCTTCTAGTGTCTGAGGAGGACGTTGCAAATTGAGCAATCTCCTACCCATCATATCCCACACGTGCTCAATTGGGGATAAGTCGGGAGATCTTGGTGGCCATGGTAACAATGTGACATCATTATGTTGAAAGAAGTCTATTGTGACTCTTGCAACATGTGGTCGGGCATTATCTTGTTGGGAAGTTGGATCTGCCAGGGTGTCAAGATAGGGTCAAAGATGGGGTTCTAGAACTTCGTGGATATAACGCTGCGCGTTCATGTTACCTCTGATGAAGATTAAAGGTGACCTGGAACCATAAGCTATAGCACCCCAAACCATAACTCCAACAGTGTGATGAACATGTATTTCAACAAACAACTGTGGATTCCTCCTTTCACCACGTCGCCTTCTAACCCTGGCACGACAATCGTGCATGCCTGAACAAAATCGAGACTCGTCACTAAAGACAATACTGTTCCATTCCTGATCCCAGAGTGACCGTTGTCTGCACCACTCAAGGCGATTACGTCGGTGTTCTCGAGTTAAAGGGAGGACCCAGTGTGGCCGGTATGAAAACAAGCCAAAACTTCTCTTTCGTCGGTAAACACTTCGCATGCCAATAGGTCTTCCGTGTTCTGCAAACCATTCATTTGGACCTGGTAGTGGAGAAACGGTCCCTTAAGGCCAATAATCTTAGACGGCGATCTTCACGGTCTGTTGTTCTACGGCGGCGTCCAGTGCCCCTTGCTCTTTGCGTACGGCCTTCTCGAAGCCATGCCTGATAACACCTAACCACAGTGTCTACACTTCTTTGCACTCTAACTGCAATTGCCCGAAAAGAAAGTCCAGCTTCCCGAAGTCCCACTATACGGCCCCTATCAAACTCACTAAGTTGACGAAATCGTACACGTCTCCGTACTCTAGGCATCGTAACCGATCGTAAAGGATGTCAAGAACCAAAAACCGCCAACGTTGATTCTTTACTGCGGCTGAAATATTCATTTTTAGAGCGTTAGTGAATTAAAAAAAAGCAGTATAAAAACCGGAATGTCCAACTGATGAGGCTGAAAATTTTTTCACTTGTTATTTACAGTAAGATAAATACATTCACCAACTTTTATTAAAATAAAACCATTTAAACTGGGTGTTCGGATTTATATGTCACTTAGTATATATGTGTTTTCCCTCTTGTAAAATTATTGTGGTAATGATTAGTCAATGTAGTGTCTAAATGTTGTGGCAAAAGATGATTTTTTTATTTCAAATATTAAAATAAAAACCAAATATTATACGAATTTTTCTATATTCAAGCACTGCAGTCGTTGTAACATAGATTTTAATTTGATGTACTTATTTTTATTCTATATTATTCACATAGCTTTACTTTGCAGGAATTGTAATTTTGAGAATACAGCTTCATTGACATGAACAAAATAGTTGAACAACATAGTAAATGCGTTAGAATAACTGTATTATAAACTATTTTTTTTTAAATATGTAATAAGAATATCAGGGTCCTATAACAGTAATCTGTTTTTTGGCGATTTTTGAAATAATGTATTTAAAGTGAACTTTAGTTTACTGTCAATATATATACGTAAATATTTAATTGATAACATTTTAATTTATATCACTATTTATCCTGTGATAGTATTTTCATTTCGGTATTTCCCTATTAGCTTAAATTTTGTTTTAGAAGCAGCCAATTTTAGTTTATTTACATTTAACCAATTTATGGTTTTTGCAATGTCAAACTAATTAAAATATTACAAATGACATTAAGGTATAAAATAAATAGTAGTGGGCCTAGTTTACTACCTTGTGGTACACCAACAGAAATATTTTTTGATCTTGACAATGTAGATCCAATTTTAGTTTTTTTACATTAGACAATTAAATAGTTTTGTAGTTTGAATACAGATCCTTTAAATCCATAGTGATGGAATTTTGCAAGTAAATTATCCCCGTCAATAATTAACTAATTTGATTATAATGTCGGCAGTATTATGTATAAAAAGTTTATTTCGGTTTTTGCTGTTTGTGATATAAATTTTGACAGTATCTCAAAAATACTGGATTGTGGTTGTTTGTACGTGGACAGAGAAATCACACAAATAGGCTATCCTTTTCTTAATCAGTCTGGCATCAAACTTTGTACACGGTGGCCGATAGTAACTGACTGGTTTGTATCTTGAATATTTGAGAAATGAAATAAAATACGTCAATTTTTTTCATCTTAATCGTCTATTGAAACTTAGAAATTATGTATGAAAGATAATATCAGACAAATGTGGGCTTCTTCGCTCATTATCAGTTGTCGGTAAAAATCGTTATTTTAGGTATTAAGCTGCAATATTGCATAACTGTATTGTCGACGACTTTCATGGTCACTAGACTGTAGTTCTTGGGTTAACTGAATTTTGTATGGCCGCAAATGCAAGTCTTTTTTAAAATAGTGCATAATGACGTTCGACGAATACCCAGTTCTTGAGGACGATGTCTTGTAGACGCCTCAGGGCGCTCCACTACACTTTCACGTACTCTCGATATTTTCCGGAGTACGAACAGTTAGAACACTGGCAAGTCTTTAACTTCATCTGTTTGTTTAAATTTTCGCACCAACTGATGAATGGTGTTGACACTGGAGATATTATTTCGACCGAAATCTTGTCGTACCTTCCGAATCGTTGCAACATTCGACCCATTATTTAAGTAAAGTGTTTTAACAATACGGAGGCATAGTGGAATCGTGTAGGTCTCCATGATGAATTGAACACATGTGCTTTAAACAACTGCTACGGCGTCACGTACTGAAATGCGTGTATCAAAAATGGCGTGCAATTTAAATCAGTCAGCCACCCTGTAAATGTCTGCTTTATATTTTTATCCAGAGTTTAAAATGTATTAATGCTTGACATAATGTCAAAAATGTTATATTATATTTTTTCTGTAATCTGTGATACTTCCGTACTTGGAAGACTGTTGGACAGTGAAGATTTTTATTATTGTAACATATAATTGCAGATATGGATGAGAACGACGACATCGTTGTCCTGAGGAAGCCTCCAAAGACGAAGGCAGAATCGATAGCATTACAAAACAGAAAAACTAGAAAACGCACTCGGAAGTTCATGATAGATGGTGTTATGATTACAACGACTACTAGCAAGGTATGACATTTTTTGGAGGAAATATACTACAGAACATGAAAAATCCTAGGAGGATGTTAGATTAAAAAATTCCGTAAACTCCTGACCTGAAATTTGAAATATTATGAATGGGTACGAGGGATGTCTTTTCAGTTTTGCATATAGAAACATAGTTGGCCGCGCGGATCGAACGTCAGTACTGAATCTTAACCTCACTCTTTAGTAAACTGAAATTCAAAGTTTCACAACAATACGCGCAGTGTTCTCACTACAGTGAGTTTTTAAGTGTCACCAAGTCATTAGAAAAATGGAACTCAACCGAGATCATTTTCGCGCCGTAATTTATTACAACTTTCAGAGACAATTATCGCAACAAGAATGCCTTGCTGAGTTACTGTCTGTTTTCGGCAACGAAGCGCCACATCAGTCGACAATTTCCCGTTGGTATGGAGAATTCAAACGTGGACGGGTGAGTCTTAGCGACGATCCCAGGGTGGGTGCACCAAAAACCAAACTCATCATTGAAGATAGACATGTGACATATCGCGAGATTGAGGCGTCCTTGAAGATCTCAAAGACCTCAATTCAAAAAATTTTACATACAGAATTAGGAGTAAGAAAATTAGTTTCTCGTTGGATACCCCACCTGTTGACTGAAGAGCAGAAAGCAGCCAGGGTTAATTGGTTAATTGACCGTTTCAATTTCGGAAACTCAAAAAATGTGTACAGCATTGTTAGTGGTGATGAATCGTGGATTTACTGTTATGAACCAGAAAATAAACGACAGTCGGCTGTTTGGGTGTTCCAAGGTGAAGAAAAGCCAGCAAAAGTCATCCGTTCTCGAAGTGTTTCGAAAAAGATGGTCGCGACATTTGTGCCAAAAGCGGGTCATATTGCAACAATTCCTCTTAATGAGCAAAGAACTGTTACTGCGGATTGGTATACCACCATTTGTTTGCCAAAAGTCATCACCGAGCTTCGAAAAATCAACCCCGAAAGAAAAATCATCCTCCACCAAGACAATGCAAGCTCGCACATAGCCCAAAAAACAAGGCAGTATTTAACGGAAGAAAACGTGGAATTATTGGACTATCCTCCATATAGTCCCGATCTAAGTCCCAACGATTTCTTTACTTTCCCGAAAATTAAAAACAGACTGCGTGGTCAAAGGTTCCAGTCACCAGAAGAAGCAGTTGACGCATCAAAAATGCTGTTTTGGATCTGCCAGCAAACGAGTGGAATAAGTGCTTCGAAAATTGGTTCGAGCGCAAGCAGATGTATATTAATCTTCTTGGAGAATACTTCGAAAAACAATAAAGTCATTTAAAACTACCTACCCTGTTGTTTTATTTCCATGTGCAAAACTTAAAAGACATTCCTCGTATTTAAGAGATATTTCTGTTGTCTATTTATCTATGTTATTATATATAGGGCGTTCTCAAAGTTGAGTCATTTATTTTAACAGCTTGTAGAACTCGTCAAAAGAAGCTGATATACCAAAAATTACATAAAAGTTGCATAATAAGATAGTTAGTTTACATTATTAAGGATTATTTCAAAAAAATCATTATCAAGTTAAATGGATACCGTTTTTACAAAAACTGTACAAAATTGCCCCTATTTGTTCGATTGAGGCAAAATCTTGCTTGGCGAATCCACGACTCTTTACGAATATAGAATCCTGGTGTCCTCGAGTTAAATCACAAACATTTGCAGTGCGCCGTTGAATATCTTCCAGAGTATTTACTGCTCCATCATGATACACCAACTCTTTCAAAGACCCCACAGAAAAAAATCTCTAGATGTTAAATCCGGGGAGCGAGCAGGCCAAGAAACGGGTTCATTGTGCCCGATCCATCTATTCGGCAACCCATTATTTAGATGTTCATGAACTTCTCGTCTAAAATGTGGTGAACCCTCGTCATGTAGGAACCACATACTCTGTCTCACATTTAGAGGAACATCTTTTAATAATTGTGGCAGATTGTGCCGAAGAAAGTCTAAATAAATTTCACCTGTCAATCGAGGTGGAAAAAAGTAGCGTCCAATAAGAATGCCATTTACCACGCCAGCCCAAATATTTAATGAAAATCTATGTTACAAATGAGTTCTTTTTACAGTATGCGGATTTTATACTATCTAAAGGTGATTGTCATGGAAATTGTGCACTCCATTTCGTGTAAATGTGGCCTCGTCTGAACACAAAATTAATTTCGTAAAATTTTCATGTTTGCCAAGCCGTTCTAAAAGCCACTGGCAAAATGCAACTCTTCTAGGATGATCTTTAGGTTGTAACGCTTGTACCCGTTGATAATGATGACGATAATACTGTTCTTGTCGTATTGTCTTCCACACTATGAGAAACCTCAACATGGCTGCTATGGCTCTAGTACTCATTGAAGTGTTGTCTTCGACCATTTCTAAAATGTCTTCCTGAATTTGTAACATTTCAGGTTGAGCAGGTCTTCCAGCGTGACCTGTTTGTTCTTTTAAATATCCTGTGTCACGAAGTCGTCTAATAAATAAATTTACAAACATCCGCAGGGCCGGATGTCTTTTTAAAGGAAATCTTTGCGAATACAACCTGCATGCTGCGGCTGCACTTGATTGGCACTCTACGTATGTTAGTATTATGTCTACTAGTTCTTTATTCTCGTAAACATTTGCATAAAAAACAAATGAAAGTATACTATTAAAAAGCTGATCGAACCAAAGACTCGTACTGAAAACCTTACAATGACACAAAAAGTTTGCCAAATTTAGATAAACGATAAGAGGAGTAAACAAAAAACGCTAAGATTTTACACGGCAGTAGTTGAGATTATCAAAAAATCTGTGTAATAACATTATTGTTTTTTTAACTTTTCAATCTTTCACTATTTCTTTTATTATGCAACTTTTATATAGGTAATTTTTTTTCAACTCCTTTTGACGAGTCCTAGAAGCTGTTAAAATAAATGGCTCAACTTTGTTAATTAAGTACCATAAATTCAGTTTAAATTTAACAGACGATTCTTTGAGTAATTATAAGAGAAAAAAGTTGATACAAACGTCGGTCCGCAATTTCTTCGTTGAAATAAAAAAAAATCAGTACATTTCTTAAATATCATTCACCTAATTTTGATGTATACTAAGTGACATATAAATCCGAACACCCAGTTTAAATGGTTTTATTTTAATAAAAGTTGGTGAATGTATTTATCTTACTGTAAATAACAAGTGAAAAAATTTTCAGCCTTATCAGTTGGACATTCCGGTTTTTATACTGCTTTTTTTTAATTCACTAACGCTCTAAAAATGAATATTTCAGCCGCAGTAAAGAATCAACGTTGGCGGATTTTGGTTCTTGACATCCTTTACGATCGGTTACGATGCCTAGAGTACGGAGACCTTTTTTTTATACTCCATCTGCCACGAAGGCCTAAGGCCTAAACACCCATTGGGTACCGTAGGGCTATAGGGGGATACAGGGGAAAGGGGGAACGCCACACGGACTCTGGCGAGGGAACACGTGTGCATGCAACATGCACACATTCTGGCTCCGCCTACGAGATCCGCCGGGTGGTACCTCCACGTTCGACAGTCAGAGACCGTCTACCACCTACGGACAATCACAACATCCATAGCCAAGAGAAAAATTTCTCCTGGGACGGGACTCGAACCCGCACAGTGCACGGCGACTGATCAGGAGACCGAAGAGTCTACTACTGCGGCCACCGCTGCTGCCTGTACGATTTCGTCAACTTAGTGAGTTTGATAGGGGCCGTATAGTGGGACTTCGGGAAGCTGGACTTTCTTTTCGGGCAAGTGCAAAGAAGTGTAGACACTGTGGTTAGGTGTTGTCAGGCATGGCTTCGAGAAGGCCGTACGCAAACAACAGACGTAGAACAACAGACCGTGAAGATCGCCGCCTAAGATTATTGGCCTTAAGGGACCGTTTCTCCACTACCAGGTCCATTGCAAATGAATGGTTTGCAGAACACGGAAGACCTATTGGCATGCGAAGTGTTTACCGACGAATGAGAAGTTTTGGCTTGTTTTCATACCGGCCACACTGGGTCCTCCCTTTAACTCGAGAACACCGACGTAATCGCCTTGAGTGGTGCAGACAACGGTCACTCTGGGATCAGGAATGGAACAGTATTGTCTTTAGTGACGAGTCTCGATTTTGTTTAGGCATGCACCATGGTCGTGCCAGGGTTAGAAGGCGACGTCATGTTACCAAATCTCTAATAAGCATAATTTATTTAATTCGCAATTTAAAACACTCAGTTTCACTAAACGTCCTGTTCACTTAATTGCATATCCCTGGACCACACAAGGCTTATAGGGAAACGTTTCTTTTAAAAATTATTGTTTTTATAATTCTTTACCCATCGCCACGTTGCAGGTAATTTATGGGGATGAGGACAACTATAATCTTAGCGACCCTCATACGGATAGGAAACAAGAATTGAGAGAACTGAAGTACCTGCAAAAGCAAGAACAGAAGCAGTTCCAGGACTTGGCGAATAAAGAGCAGTTAGCCATAGAACAACAAGATAGAAAATTCGAACAAGAAATACAGAGCTTAGAAAGAACCTACGAGACTGACTTAGAAATGCTAAGTAGGCAACAGGTAAATTGATCTTGCGTAGTAATCACTAATTTGTCACTGTTGAACTGTGCATTTTTACTCCCAGTTTGTCAAAGTTGAGCGTTTTTGTATATTGTAACTCAACAACCAATCACCTAAATGCTAGAGTATGTTATGCCAATCTTGGAAGGAGCTATCGGAAGGTTGCAAGCGTTTAAATGTACTCACGTAAAAAAATTAAGATATACTTTCCTCTACATAAATGATTTACCTGCCATAGTCAAAAAATGCAAAATTCAGATTTTCGCCGATGACACTATGATTTACGTAGTCGTGCCATAAGTTCTGTCCCATGATAATCTCATGATAAAAATGAAACAAGATAAGATATATTTATATGAAAGATATTATTTATTCGACAACATTTTTAGAATTCATAATCAAACAGTTTTATTCAAAATGTCCCCCCTTGGCCTTCACACACTGCTTCAATCTCGCGGGCCACTCATCTATCACTGCACGCACAGCTTCCAAAGGAATAGCTGCCGCTGATCGGATCAAATCCGCTTTCAGGGACTCGATATTACGGTGGGCTTTGGAGCAGGCCAACTGCTCTAGCAGGTCCCACAACTTGTAGTCTAAAGGAATGAGGTCCGGACTCCCTGAGGGCCAATCTTCCGCAGCAATGAACTCTGGCACATTGCTTTCCAGCCAGCGCTGCGTACTCTTAGCCTTGTGAGCGGGGGCGGAATCCTGCTGGTAGACCCAGTGTTGGTTGGCAAACAATATACCACTTAAAGGCTTGACGATAGGATCCAGTATGTCGCTCTGATAGTTTGCCGCTTTTGTTTTCACGCCCTGTTTACAGAAATGGAGCTGAGTGACCCCTTCGTAGGACACCCCCCACCAAACCATGACTGACGCAGGGTGGTGGCCTCTCTCAACTCTCGGAATGATCTCCGAAGCTTCCTGTGAACTCCTTGCATACACTTTGTCATTTTGTCGGTTGAATTTTTCTTCTATGGTGAAGATTTTCTCATCCGTGAACAAAATCTTTCGGAATCCCCCAGCTGCGTACCTCTCCAAGAGCTTCTTGGATCTTGTCGCCCTGATGTGTCGCAAGGTGGCCGTAAGTCGCTGGCCCGTACGTCTCCGGTAAGCCCCTAGCCCTAGGTCTTGTTTAATGATGCGCGACATCGTCCGGACAGGAATCTTCATTTCCCTGGATAGGATCTTCTGCTTCCGGAGTGGATTCCTTTGAATCCTGGCTTTTACGGCTTTGATGGCTGCTGGAGTCCTTACTTGACGAGGTCTTCCGCTTCTTGGCCTGTCATCAACAGAGGACGTCTCATTGTACCGCTGAATGGTCCTAGACACAAATTTACGCGATATTTGAAGGCCGCGTAAGAGTTCAAAAATCTGACTAGCACTGTGATTACACTTATGTAAAGCTATCACTGCAATACGGTTCTCTGCCTTGCCCCACTCCATCGTTATGCTTCGAGAGATCAATACAAACTGAGGTATATGTAATTACCCGAAAAGCGCTTAATCAACTGACACCACAATGTAAACAATCGGACAAGTATTAACAGGTCTACACTTGTTTGAAAACGAGGGACAGAACTTCTGGCATGACTACGTATATAAGTACTAAAAATATTCAGACTGGTATCTCTTATATAAATGGAGACTTGAAACTTGTCTCAAAATGGTTAGCATCTAACAGACTAAAATTAAATACAAGTAAAACGAAAGCCTTGTTAATCGGAAGAAAACTGTACAAATTTTCAACTGAATATTGATGGTGAAGATATTGAATTCGTAGAAAATTTTAAATACCTGGGGGTTTTTGTTGACTCTCGATTAATTTTTGATATTCATTATGAAAAAGTTATAAATAAGATTAGTAGTAAAGTGGGATATTTATCGAGAGTTTCTGGATGTCTTGAGTTCATATAGCAGAAAAATTATCTATAATACGATCGTTCTTCCAAATTTCTTGTACTGTTTGACTATTCTATATTTAGCAAATAATTCCATTTTTGAAAGACTGCAAATTTTACAAAATAAGTGCATGAGAATAACACTAAATAAAGATAAATATACTCCAATTAGGCAAATGCTTAGCAAATTAAAATGGCTCAATGTAAAAAAAAATATCAAATATCTTGTAATGATATTCATTCATAAAGTAAAAAATAATATATTTCCATCAAGTCTAACTAATTTAACATCATCAAATGTCGACCATCATTTACATAATACGAAAAATGAAGATGACTTCCATTTAATGACCAAAAAGTATAACATATGCTACAAATCTGTATTCCATCAAGGGTTGATTGAATATAATAAATTATACTCAGAGATAAAAGACCAGAAAACTTTGACAAAATTTAAAGTAAAATTGAGAAATCACTTGTTAAATCTACAATTACAGGTTGTCCAGCATTTACACCATACACCATATGGCTTGAATTTACTAGTTCTAAGTTGTTTACAATTATTCTGTTTATGTAGCCAAATGTGCTAAATAAATCTTTCTACTACTACTACTACCCCCCATACAAGCCCCAATCTCCCGTTTTTTTTTTCACCCTTCGCATAGTTTTTTATACACCGAAGCGGCCAAGCAGGCAGAATTCTGAATGATAGGACACCGCGGCTGCTTGGAGGGAATGTTTGACTTTTATATTGAGTTCTTTTTTTTTCAGAGGCTAACGATAGAACGAGCCGAAGCTCATTTAGACGCTGACCTTAGGGCAACTTCGAAAAAGATCAGGTCGGAACAAGAAAGAGAACTGAAACTATTTAGGGAATCTTTGAAACAAGAGGTACGTTCATTTTCAATCTTATATCCCCACTAATCAGTGTCTTCGTTACTCTATCACAAAGTACGAAAATTCATTATCAATATGCGATAATAATGATTTTGTGTGCAATAAAATTGCAGGAGGCGAGATTTAGATGCTACGAGGGTGGTCCCAGAAGTAACCGAACCAACGAGGAAAACACAAAATTTTTGTAAAAAAAATGTTTTTATTTTTCAACATAATCTCCTATGAGCTCTATACACTTTTCCCAGCGATGTTTAATAAGTTCGATACCCTTTTTATAATAAGAAGTGTTTTGCTCCTCAAAATAGCCATTACTGCCGATATCACTTCTTGATCGTTGGAAAATCTTTGACCACTGAGCCATTTTTTCAAGTTTGGAAACAGAAAATAATCCGAGGGGGCTAAATCTGGTGAATAGGGTGTATGAGGTAGCATATCAAACTTTAATTCGTTAATTTTGGCCATTGCAATAACGGATTTGTGAGCTGGTGCATTGTCTTGATGAAACAACACTTTCTTCTTAACCAAATGCGGCCGTTTTTGCTTGATTTCATCGCTCAAACGTTGCAATAACTTCGCATAATACTCGCCGTTGATAGTTTTACCGTTTTCTAGATAGTTAATGAAGATTATCCCACGCGCATCCCAAAAAACCGACGCCATAACCTTGCCTGCAGATGAAGCGGTCTTCGTCTTCTTGGAGCCGGTTGTCCCTTTTGAGTCCATTGTTTTGATTGTTCTTTTGTCTCGGGTGTGGAGCGATGGAACCATGTTTCATCCGTGGTTATGAAACGACGCAAAAATTCTGCTTTGTTGCTGTGAAACTTCGCTAAACACTCAATTGACGACACTGTTTTTGCTCGATTGTGAGCAATCGCGGCATCCATCTTGCACACAGCTTTCTCATGTCCAAATTTTCAGATAATATGCGATGAACCGCACTTTTTTAAATGCCTACTATGTCTGCTAGCTCGCACACTTTCAGTCGACGATCATTCAGTACCGCTTTGTGAATTTTCTTCACCATTTCTGGAGTCGTCACCTCATTTAGTCGACCACTGCGATGTTCGTCTTGGCAGCTCATACGGCCTCGTTTAAACTCTGCTACCCAATATTTTACTGTTGCAAACGAAGGAGCAGACTCACCCAGAGTAGAATCCAGTTCAGCTTTTATATTGGTTGGGCCTTTGACATAAAAGTATTGTACCACATAACGATGACCAATTTTCTCCATTTTCACAAATTCACTAAAACGTTCAGTATTGATGGCTGCCAAACAAATACTAAACAACGTGGCGTCGTCAAACTTGACACATATACTTTCTAATACAATGATATTTTTCAAACAACTATCGCCATCTCTAGTCAGGCCGGGTACTTCTGGGACCACGACTCGTACATCCAATCTACCAACTAACGAGTCTAACAAAACGAGTAATTAAGAACAAGTTCATTTAACTTCTGCAAGTATTCTTTTCTCCCGCTCACCGGCAGAGATCGGTGTAAATTCCTGCATGTAGGATATAAATGTTGTGTCTCGGCGTCCTGAACAAATTCCTTAATGGGTCCTGCCCCCAAAACCTAACGGGTCCCTAGATATAGGCCGTCCAAGTCGGTAATGGTTTAGGTTAATTTTGCTAATTTTTCATATGTTATGTGTTTCGCCTCCCTAAACAAATTTCTTAATGGACACAGGTCAATTAGGTTGAATTTTTTATATGTTACACTGGACAACAAATTTTAGTTTTTTAATTGTATCTTGTGGGAAAAGTGTACTTCTTTAAGGTACCTCTTTAATTTTGGGGCGCTGAATCCAAAAATGACAATGAAATAAAAAAATTAGTTGCGGTTTATAAAAAAAACTTTTTATTTTTAAGGATATATCAAAAAAAGTAACAAGATTCATATACTTACAAGAATCACTATATGCGCTGTCTTTTTGCTGTTCTTTTATGGATCGTTTCTGGAGCATCTCTACCAAGAGTCCAACAGTAGTCTGCAAGCATGGAAGGATTCCACTTTCCCTGGTATCTTTTTTCCATTGTTGAAATATCATGATGAAAACATTCGCCGTGTTCATCACTTACGGCTCCGCAATTGTCAGGAAAAAAGTCCAGGTGTGCGTGTAGGAAATGTATCTTAAGAGACATATTACAGTCCATCTTTTGATACGATGACAGCATATTTTTGACAAGGGTTTTATAGTTGTCAGCTTTTCTATTTCCCAAGAAATTAGTGACCAGCAGACGGAAATCATTCCAAGCAGTTTTTTCAATACCTGTTAAAGTGTTTTCAAACTGTGTATCTTTCAAAATATTTCGAATCTGTGGCCCAACAAAAATACCTTCTTTAACCTTTGCCTCACTTATTCTTGGAAATTTCTGACGCAGGTATTGAAAAGCTGACCCATCTCTATCTAATGCCTTGACAAAGTTTTTCATTAGGCCCAACTTGATATGCAGTGGTGGTAATACATTTTTTTTTCGAATCTACTAATGGCATATGCTGTACATTTTTTTGACCTGGCTCTAGGAATTGACGAACAGGCCAGTTTTGTCTGGTGTAATGAAGTGCCTTTGCCCGACTGTCCCATTCACACAAAAAACAGCAAAACTTTGTGTAGCCTAGCTGCAGCCCAAGTAAAAGTGCAACAACTTTCAAATCGCCACAAATATGCCATTGGTGCTCATCGTATTTTATGCATGTCAATAGGTACTTCATATTGTCATATGATTCTTTCATGTGAACCCTACAGGAAGAGATGGTAAAATATTTCCAATATGCAATAACACTGCCTTTAAACTCAATGTTGAACTGTCTATAAACAAGCTCCATTCTTCTGGGTTATAGTTTATATTTAAAGACGCCAGTAAGCCGTTAATGTTACTGCAGAAAACCAAGTTATTCTCCATATTGAAAAATGGTTCTGTCTTTGTGGCGTTTACGAAAAACACATACCGAAACATCGTCTTCTAACAAGTTCCACTGCTGCAGTCTTGATCCAAGTAACTCTGCCTTACATTTTGGAAGTTCTAAATCTCTTACAAGATCATTTAATTCTGACTGTGTTATTTTGTGCGGTTGGTGGCATGACGTGCGCGGTATAAAATCAGGATCTCTTGACGTTGATGGCATATCTTCTTCCTGACGAATCACTCGATCGCCATGATCTGATTCGTTTTCTGATTCGCAAGTGTAGGATTCTGGGGGTTTTGGAATAGGATTTTCGTCACTGTGAGGCACAGGTCTCATCGCAGATGGTATGTTTGGGTAGTTAGTAACCGATTTTTTTTTCTTGGACATACCTGTGGCTTGTCCAACACAAGGTACCATGCAAAAGTAACAATCATTAATATGATTTGTAGGCTCTCTCCAAACTATTGGGACAGCAAAGCGCTTAGACCGTTTTTTGCCATTTAACCAGCTCCTCAGACTTGAAGCACATGTATTACAGCAGATGTGGGGTGCCCACTGTTTGTCTTGATCACCTAGTTTACAACCGAAATAAAGCTGATATGCCTTTGTTATTAGTGGAGTAATAGACCGTCTCTGAGACGCAAAAGTCACATCACCACACACGTAACAAAACTGATCTGGATTGTTTACACACTTTCGAGACATCTTGCATGAACGCTGTCAGCCAACTGAGGAAAAAATGGCTAATATAAAACAATATAATGTACACGTATGTATAACGTAATACAATCATGCCGATTACATCATATTTCCTTGCCGAATATAAAAATGTAGCACGTGCATTCTTGTGAATTACAGTATATTAACACTGTCACAGCAGGAACACATATAATTACCGTATCTCTAAAACTTGAACTAATATTGAAAAAATAAGTTTCATTCCGGTTTTAGCACATTAAAAATAGTAATATTTTGTTGATTTTATTTAGGATATTTTTTGGCTGTTGATCAGTGTTATATGTCTCGGCATTCTGAATGAATTCCTTAATGGGTGCAGGCCCCAAAACTCAAGATTTGGGCAGTCCAAGTCAGTATAGTGGAATTGCTATACATGGAAGAGTGGTTAAGGTTTAGGCCCTGTGTCCATTGAAACATTTGCTTGTGATGTCAAGACGCATAACGTATAAAAATTTCGTCGAAATCAGCAGAAACCACGTTTCCCATATGCGTGTTGCCGGGTCCTTTGTCAATATGATTGACTATAGTTTGCATTTAGACACTAGAAGTAAATGATTGCGTGAAATGCTTTGGTGAAGTCAAGATATAACAGAGCTACGGGTTTCTCGTTGCCAAGTTTTCCTGTTACATTTTGGGGTTAAATAGCATAGTGTTGAAGCCGTGTATTATCGAAAACCAGACTGCTTAGCTGGAATAACTTGATTAAAATCGTTCCAATATTGTTCTATGTCAACGATAGGAAATTATCCTTCATTACTGCTTGTTATGAGTAACAAATCTCTTCACTATTCTTCAGATACACTACAGAAAGCTTCTAAAATGTCAATATTACAGGTGAGGCTGTTGAAATGTGAAATAGACATGCTGCCGAAAGAAAGGAGAAAACAGGAATTCAAAGTTAGAAAAGAAAAGTTGGACCAAGAGCATTTAGAAAAAGAAAAGGCATTTTTGGAAAAACTGAATGAGAATCACGAAAGTTCGCTGAGAAGGTATACAATTTTGAATTTTTGCATATACAGCGCAGTCCGTAATGAATGTGTAAAATGGCAAGTCTTGTGCTTGAACTCGTGAAAATGGTGATATTGAACTAAATGTGACTTAGTGACAGTGTGTTAAAGTTCAATTTTCAAAATCGGGGTTTCTGCTAGTGCGAGGTACACTTATATTTATTCATTGACACTTTTTTATATAATTTTAGATTTAGTCTATTAAAATTACATCATTATGCGTTTTGAGTATTCAAAGCGGTTTTTTAATTTGACCCATTTCTAAATTGAAACACTGTTTAATATCATTATTAAATTTGAAATACCGAATTGCTAGTTATGCTACTATTACAATTTTGCAGATGAAAATCCATGCTGTCTCTAGGTTCATAGTTATGATTTTTTTTTTTATATTTTTGAAATAATGTATTCATAATGCTCTTGAAACAGTAGTTTACTATCCACATATATACTAAGTGACATATAAATCCGAACACCCAGTTTAAATGGTTTTATTTTAATAATATTTTGTATAAGTACTTAATGAAGCATAATAAGTAAATGATAAAAATTTCAAAATGATTGCACTGCTTTAAAGCCCTTTGACCATTAATAATGTGTGGATGCACCCTGATGTGCTACGCATTCTCCAACGCGCCTAGGCATGCTTCTGATCAGGTGGTCAATTTCCTCCTGTGGTATCTCATTCCAGGCAACCACCAACTCCTCTCGAAGTGTTTCTAGAGTCTGAGGAGGACGTTGCAAATTGAGCAATCTCCTACCCATCATATCCCACACGTGCTCAATTGGGGATAAGTCGGGAGATCTTGGTGGTCATGGTAACAATGTGACATCATTATGTTGAAAGAAGTCTATTGTGACTCTTGCAACATGTGGTCGGGCATTATCTTGTTGGAAAGTTGGATCTGCCAGGGTGTCAAGATAGGGTAAACGATGGGGTTCTAGAACTTCGTGGATATAACGCTGCGCGTTCATGTTACCTCTGATGAAGATTAAAGGTGACCTGGAACCATAAGCTATAGCACCCCAAACCATAACTCCAACAGTGTGATGAACATGTTTTTCAACAAAAAACTGTGGATTCCTCCTTTCACCACGTCGCCTTCTAACCCTGGCACGACCATCGTGCATGCCTAAACACAATCGAGACTCGTCACTAAAGACAATACTGTTCCATTCCTGATCCCAGAGTGACCGTTGTCTGCACCACTCAAGGCGATTACGTCGGTGTTCTCGAGTTAAAGGGAGGACCCAGTGTGGCCGGTATGAAAACAAGCCAAAACTTCTCATTCATCGGTAAACACTTCGCATGCCAATAGATCTTCCGTGTTCTGCAAATCATTCATTTGCAATGGACCTGGTAGTGGAGAAACGGTCCCTTAAGGCCAATAATCTTAGGCGGCGATCTTCACGGTCTGTTGTTCTACGGCGGCGTCCAGTGCCCCTTGCTCTTTGCGTACGGCCTTCTCGAAGCCATGCCTGACAACACCTAACCACAGTGTCTACACTTCTTTGCACTCTAACTGCAATTGCCCGAAAAGAAAGTCCAGCTTCCCGAAGTCCCACTATACGGCCCCTATCAAACTCACTAAGTTGACGAAATCGTACAAGTCTCCGTACTCTAGGCATCGTAACCGATCGTAAAGGATGTCAAGAACCAAAATCCGCCAACGTTGATTCTTTACTGCGGCTGAAATATTCATTTTTAGAGCTTTAGTGAATTAAAAAAAAGCAGTATAAAAAGGCAGAAAAGTTTTTCACTTGTTATTTACAGTAAGATAAATACATTCACCAACTTTTATTAAAATAAAACCATTTAAACTGGGTGTTCGGATTTATATGTCACTTAGTATATATCCAGATATTTGATTGATTCGACTACTTCTATTTTTTTAGCATTGATCATGAGCCAATTCTATTGCCACCTAAATGTTTACCTATTGACTTACATTTTGTTTTATTTAATTCAGGTTGGTTAACCAATTCATAATTTTTTTAATATCACTAATTAACAGTTCTAAAGCATGTTTATGTGTCATATATATATATATATATATATATATATATATATAACTTGAGACGTGGTCATTGTCGTCTATATATATATATATATATACAGGGTGACTTTGAAGTTGAGTCATTAATTTTCAGATAATGATTGTAGAAGGAAGATAAACCAAAATATGTGTGTAAAAATAAAAAAAAAATTAAAAAAAAATGTTTACCTTGTTTTATAAAGTATCCTCCCGACAAGTATTTCAGTGCGGACCTGTATTTGATCGTGAGGTCCCCTGTGAGGTCTTAAGTCACCTGATTCACGAGCCCGTTGTACTACATTAACAAAGGCACGAGGGGTTGGTTGCACTCGATTGGGAAACCGATCCGCATAAACATGTGCCATTTTTTATTTCATTTGAGCCACGTAACAGACACTATTCACACGCGTTACCGACTGACAGTGACTGTATGTATAACTGAACTGAATAAAATAATTGTAAAAACATCGTTCCAAATTCTTTCGTTTTTTTGTTTCCGATGCGATGAACCGATACGGCGGATTATATCCGTTGTTGCCAAACACGAGCACATGATATTATTATTGAGACAGGGCGGTACTCAAACTTCCAAAGGGCTATAACTTTGTTACTTTAATTTTACCAGAAAAATGGTAAAGGAAAAAAACATTTCTTTTGATCAGATCTACTCACTGTTAAAATAAATGACTCAACTTCGAAGTCACCCTGTATATATCCGTAAATATTTGAATTTTGCAGTGTTCTTAAATATCAGAGATATCATTTGTATATACAGAGTGGCCCAAAATTTAATCCAAACTTGCACAAATATACAGGGTGATGCATTTGAAAGTTTTGAGAAAAAACACAATTCGAGTTTTTTACCACCCCGTACGAGCAAAAATTAAAATTCGAACAAGTAACAAATAAGATAAACGCTGAGGTGTGTAAGTTTTTTTTATACAAAATTCAGCACTCCAAATTTCAAAATGGCGATTCAAGGGTTGCCGAAGTGGACGGTTTTTCTGGACAAAAGACCTTACATCTCAGTAGCTAATTACTAAAACCCCATAATACGTTATATCAATCTTCTTCTTTTGAATTAGTTTATCCAAATATGCAATAAAATTTGAGGCATTCCATTTAAAAAATCACAGCTTTGATATGTAGCTCAAAATTGGGACAACCTGTATAATTGCCAATGTTTTAGAAATGCGCCCTCAAATGTCATGTATAACATGCCATAAATGTATTTGTTTATGAGTAATATTCCGTCCACACATGGATGGGCCACCCTGTATGTAATGAATTGCAACGGCCCTAATTTACTCCCCTGTGGCACCCCTACTTATATATTTTGAACGCTTGTCATAATATTTCCTACCTTAGTTTTTTGACTTCTATTTACTAAATAATTTTGTAAAATGTTTAATACTGATCCTTTAAAACGATAGTGATGCAATTTCATTAACAATTTTTCCCTATCTATAGTCTTAAATGCCCTTTTGAAACCTAAAAATATTGTTACAATATATTCTTTCTCATCTATACTTCTTCAGTCTTCCATTTGGATTGTTGTTTCTTAGATATTTTTTCTAAATCCAGCTTGATTTTTTGTCAAAATTTTGTTTTCTTCAATGAATTCATTGATTTCTTAGTATATTATATCCCTTCGAACAGCTTCTCGACTTCTGGCAGGACATTAATCGGCCGCATAGTTATATATATATATATATATATATATATATATATATATATATATATATATATATATAGCTTAGAATGTCGAAATTTTGCCACAGGGGTAATGGGGCCATAACTTTTTGCTGGTACCATTCAAATATGTTTTATTAAAAATTACGACATAAACCGACGATTCCCTATTCCAACGAGCGACATTTCGCTAAGGCATTCTTCACTCAATATCATTCTATTCATCAGTTTAATCCGGGGTTGGTTTGAGGATCATTCATATCCATGATTTTTGTACTTTTAACAAAACGAAAATTGTAATGCACATTTAAACAGGTCCTGCTTAGCTTCCGCGAACAATCAGCGATTTTTCCTTTTTTCAAGGTTAAGTGATTCCCATCGAGAGAAAATAGCCTTAATGGAGCGACAGTTTCTGCAACAAAAGCAGCAACTGACGCGAACTAGGGAAGCAGCTTTATGGGAGATAGAAGAAAGGCATATTCACGAAAAACATCAATTGATTAAGAGACAAATTAAAGAAATTTTCATCCTGCAGAGGCATCAAATGCTCACTAGGCATGAAAAAGAAAAGGAACAGGTAATTGGTATTGAATATCAATATACAGGGTGTCCCAGAAGTCGACGTCAAGCCGAAACCGGGTGATAGGCAAAGTCATAACAGCTATCAAAAAAATATTTAAAAAAATTTTATGTATGTGTTTTGAAAATTATAGGTCTTTGAAAAAGATATAGAAATTTCACACCCTATGGCAGTCTGTCAACTCCTGTTACTACAAATATTAACTTTTTTTGGATTTCATTTTTACAATGTAATGATGAATAATGCATCTTCAAACTGGTGTCTCAACCTTACTGCCAACTTTTCTCGTTCAGGAAAAATTGCCACTTATTTCCCAACCAAGTATTCCAAAGTAAAACTTTGCTCAACTTTAACTGGCTGTACTGGAAAAAAATGTACTACGAGAGTTTGGCAAGTAACCTTAAAAGTTGGCGCATTTAATAAGGATTCCAAAATGGTATAACACTTAGAAGATTACTCGTTAACTTATGCACAATTTTTATTTGAAGAAAAACTGATGAAAATTTTTCAAAATTTCCTAATTAAACAGCGATTATGAAAACGCACAAGGACCCTTAAGGATAACTGTTTGCTCAACAGTGGGCGTCAAAATGCTGCTGATGATGATTTACCTTTACAGCAAATGCTCAAACTGTTTTCCTTCAGCCGCAATACACGCTCGACTTCTTAAAAAAGATCGGGTTATTAAACGAGCGAATCCACGGTTATTAACAAACTCAGCTGTTTCCAATAGTCTTTGCCGTAGCTCAGCTACATCTTGAATCGGCTTGAAATACACTTTTTCTATTACAGTTCCCCAGTAAAAAAATCTAAAGGATTCAAATCAGGTGATCGGGCTGGCCACGGTATTGTACCAGACCGCTTTATCCATCTGCCTGGAAAGTTTTGATCGAGATACTCTCTCGCTGAGAGTGCATAGTGCGCTGGGCAGCCATCATGCTGAAACCACAAGTCCCTGTAGATACTCAGTGGCACGTCCACCAATAAATTTTGTACATGATTTTTCAAAAAATCCAAATAAACTTCAGCAGTCAAAGTCTCTGGGAACTCAAACGGACCGATTATTTTACCATTTAAAATTCCTGTCCAATGGTTTATCTTGAAGCGATATTGAGATGTATCTTCTCTCATCAAATGTGGGTTTGCTACGTGCCACTCGTGTAAGCTATGCAGGTTCATGTACCCATCTTTCTTAAATGTGGTCTCATCCGACCATAAAATTTTTTCAAAGAACTGTGGGTCTTTCCTGTGTCTTTCTAACATTGTGCGACAAAAAGCAACTCAGGGCTCATAATCCCGGGGCAGGAGAGGTTTGAACACGCTGTATGTGGTATGGATGGAGCACATCACTTACTTGCTATTGCACACTTTGATACCGATCAGTACTCCTTCGTTTACTGCGCATCTTTACATGTTCGTGCTTGTTGATTTCGTACTGTTACTAATTTTGGATTCGTGAACTGGACTGTTGATCGCTTGTGATTTGGATTTTGACTGTTTAATTGCTCTTCAAAACAACATTTGCTTTCCTTAGACTATTTTTGATAGTGTGATTGTGCAGTGCCGCTATGTCCGTGTACACCGTACAAGAACATGCACCTCATTTATGGGGAATGCAGATGCAACGCTAGTGCTGCAGCGAGACTTTACTGTGAGAGGTACCCGAATGCAGCTCGTCATCCAGATCATCGAGTGTTCACAAATGTGCACCGCTTACTGTTCTCAGATGGCCAACTACCAAACCAATCACACGGTGAGGGAAGATCTTTCCTTCCTTACGAAGACGTGGCGCTAGGAGCTGTCGAAGAAGACCCGAGTACTTCAGTGCGTGCAATAGAACTAAAAACAGGTGTGCCCAAAAGTACAGCCCATAGAATCTTGCAAATAAACGTGCTCCATCCATACCACGTACAGCGTGTTCAAGCTCTTCTGCCCCGGGATTATGAGCCCCGAGTTGCTTTTTGTCGCACAATGTTAGAAAGACACAGGGAAGATACACGGTTCTTTGAAAAAAATTTATGGTCAGATGAGAACACATTAAAGAAAGATGGGTACATGAACCTGCATAACTTACAAACCCACATTTGATGAGAAAAGATAAATCTCAATATCGCTTCAAGATAAACCATTGGACAGGAATTTTAAATGGTAAAATAATCGGTCCGTTTGAGTTCCCAGAGACTTTGACTGCTGAGGTTTATTTATTTTTTTTTGCAAAATCATTTAGAAAATTTATTGGAGGACGTGCCACTGAGTATTTACAGGGACATGTGGTTTCAGCATGATGGCTGCCCAGCGCACTATGCACTCTCAGTGAGAGAGTATCTCGATCAAAACGTTCCAGGCAGATGAATAAGGCGGACTGGTACAATACCGTGGCCAGCCCGGTCACCACATTAGATTTTTTTTACTGGGCAACTGTAAAAGAAAAAGTGTATTTCAAGCCGATTCAAAATGTAGCTGAGTTACGGCAAAGACTATTGGAAGCAGCTGAGTTTGTTAATAACCGTGGATTCGTTCGTTTAATAACCCGATCTTTTTTAAGAAGATGTCGAGCGTGTATTGCGGCTGAAGGAAAACAGTTTGAGCATTTGCTGTAAACGTAAATCATCATCAGCAGCATTTTGACGCTCACTGTTGAGCAAACAGTTATCCTTAAGGGTCCTTGTGCGTTTTCATAATCGCTGTTTAATTAGGAAATTTTGAAAAATTTTCATCAGTTTTTCTTCAAATAAAAATTGTGCATAAGTTAACGAGTAATCTTCTACCATTTTGGAATCCTTATTAAATGCGCCAACTTTTAAGGTTACTTGCCAAACTCTCGTAGTACATTTTTTTCCAGTACAGCCAGTTAAAGTTGAGCAAAGTTTTACTTTGGAATACTTGGTTGGGAAATAAGTGGCAATTTTTACCTGAACGAGAAAAGTTGGCAGTAAGGTTGAGACACCAGTTTGAAGATGCATTATTCATCATTACATTGTAAAAATAAAATCCAAAAAAAGTTAATATTTGCAGTAACAGGAGTTGACAGACTGCCGTAGGGTGTGAAATTTCTATATTTTTTTCAAAGACCTATAATTTTCAAAACACATACATAAAATTTTTTTAAATATTTTTGTGATAGCTGTTATGACGTTGCCTATCACCCGGTTTCGGCTTGACGTCGACTTCTGGGACACCCTGCATATTCAAAATCGGATTTATACTATAAAGGGTAAATCAAAAAACGGTGAAAATATTTTTGTGGTAGGAAATACGTCGATAGGCATTACGAAAAGTTCGTATAAATTATAAAATTACCTCATGCTGAAATAAAGGGTGTTGTGAATTTAATTTCGTCAATCACAAGTGCTTCATACGTAAATAAAATGAAATTTAAAAAACACATTGTTCTTTATAACTAAGAAAACAAATGTAACATGTAATAAAACGTCGTTGAATTCGTAGAAAAAGATGCTTTCAGATACATGGTGTACTTTAATCGGATCATATAAAAAATAAATTGATGATGGTTTCTCAAATAGAAACGTCAGACACAACATTTAAAAACACCATCATGTAGTGCCTAAAAAGTGCCAATGGGAAAGTTTTATATTTCTTAAAATGAAGTCAGAAAAAATTTGAAATGATTTCGTCAAATTATAATTTTTCCCAAATACTTCTATACGCCATGAAATTTTTACAATTTTCTCAGCGGCATGTAAATACGCCCAAAATTTTGTTCTATATAAAACAAAAGACATCGCCAACAATACAATCTGTTTTGTTGCAACCACATAAACAAGAGTTTCCATATACCAACTTAATTTAAAATATTAAAGTACGTTTTTTATTCCTTTTTAAAATTATCCAAAATAGGTGTTGGTCTTCCATTTTCAATGATCTCCTTTTTTTCTTAAAAATTATACAAGGAGAAGGACTTTTCAAGTAGTTGATCGATTACGCAGCGACACTCATCCATATTTGATTGCACGCACACTACAGCCGGTAACCAAAACGGCTACTAACGAGTGAGAAGTGAGTTTTTTTTTTAGTGGTCCTAGGGGGACCGGGAGGTGGAATCCATTTTACGGACCCCATACGCCGTGGTTCCAGCGCGGATGGGAGTGTGGGACTCTAGCTACATTCTAGTAGACTGACTAAACCACCTCCTCTGGCTCGCGACTACATCCGGTAGCACCACTTGTTGCGGCATGTCTTCAGATGCATTCGCAGCGGATATGCTCGTTTCTTCTGCTAGTGCAAGATGTCGTCCCTGCGCTTTGCGTTCATCACATTACGAACGAACCTCTGTATTGTGTTCCAGTTCTCCTTACTTTTCATCATGAGTATGGTGATGCTTCAGCTATTGACCTCCGCACCGATAACTGACTCTGTATTGCTCCTCCATGCGGCCCATCTTTGACACGCAAAGATTGTGTGCTCTGGGGAGTCCTCCTCTCCGCAATAACCGCAGATGCTGCCCTCCGTGATTCCCATTCTTTTGGTGTAATCCCCAAAGTATCCATGGCCCGATAGAAACTGGGTCAAGTAGAAGTCTAGCCTTCGATGTTTACAGCTAACCCACTGTCTTACGTCCGGGATCGGAGTCTTGCTCCACATTGCCGTCTCTGAGTGGCCGCTCCACACACGCTGCCATTTCTCCAAAGTTGTGCTTCTCTCCAGCAACCTGGTAGTACGAAGCTTAGCATCATCCCTGCTGTACAGGCGGAGCCTTTCCTCTATGAGCAGAGTGACTGGGTGTATTCCAGCTATTACTTGAGCGGCCATAGTGGACATTGTTCTGTAGCCGCTCGATATCCGCAGCAAAGCCTTCCTCTGGATACTCAAGAGCATTTGTCTATATCTCTGGACTTGGACCACACGGTGCCATACAGGAGCTGCGTACAGGACCACGGAGTGGATTACCTCACAAAGGACCGTCCTTTTAGGGCTGCTTGGACCGCCTATATTTGGTAGTATTCTTGATAGCTGGGCCATCCTAGCATCTACCTTCCTGATGACTTGACGAACGTGCTCTCCAAACTTTAAGTTGCCATCTAACACGACTCCCAGGTACGTGAGGTGTCTCTTTGTCACTATCTTCGTGCCAAGGAATTGGATATTCACCGAGCTCTTCTTGCGGGATCCCTTCAGTATCACGGCTTCCGTCTTCTGTGGGGCAAGTCGCAACTTGTTTGCTGCCATCCACTCTCTGATTCTTGCCAACGCTTCGTTCGTGATGATTTCCAGCTCCTTGGAATAGTTCGCCTCCGCTATGATCGCCAGATCGTCAGCGTACGCAATGCATTTTATTCCCTGTGGAAATGCAAGACCCAGAACTCCATCATAAAGCACATTCCACAGAAGAGGCCCAAGGACTGAGCCTTGAGGAACTCCCGCGCAGATGTCCCTCGTTTCTCTCTTCGTTAGGAGAAGCTTTCTGTCCTGGAAGTAGCTCTCCACCAAGTTTATCAGGTATGCTGAAATTTCCCCAAATCAAAAAATGGTAACAAGCCCACATAATGTCGCAGCGCCCCACGCACTCAGGCGACCGCGATCAGACACGAACCCGTACCGACGGTCCCCGACGGACAACCAAATGGATCCATAAATGAAAATCGTTACAACAGACAACCAAGTCGAGTCGAGTCAGCTTCATCGTATTCGCAAAACCTAGACACTATAGGGCGCATTATTTTCGTGGGGCTAATTTGCTATTTACTGAATTACTATTACATATCGCTGTTGGTAAACAAATAAATGAAATTATTTCACAGTACGTAGTCATGAAATATTTATTTTTAAGATTTTCAACTGTTACCAATGGTAACAATGATTACATGGACGCTTTGCCACTGGTAAACGCTTACAAGGAAAAACTTTTCGCTTTATTATTTAGACCAGAGTTCCCCAAACTTTTTTATGTCGTAGACCCCTTGCCATGTTTTTCCGTGTTGGCTAGACCCCCTACTTACCTGATATTGATTTCCTGTAAATTTCTAACTGTAGTGAAGTTTAGTGTTAAAAACTTAAAGTAAAAACACATGTTACTTTATACATTTATTAATTGAATTTAAATTAAAACTACTCAAAATAAAATTTTGTATCTTTTATGTAAAATATACGTAACATTAAATAATCAGGTGTCTGACCAATAAGTGCCCGCATTGAAAAAAAAATAAGAGGGATAAAATAAAAAAAAAGTTAAAAATAATAAAAAAAGTGTTTTACTTAAAATAGTACAACAAGCGAGTTCGTTTATTATTTATAACATAAACGTATGTTCTACAATAATTTCACTGTTAGTTTGATTAAATTCCGCTTCTTATATGTTCAAGTTATCTAAAAATAGGCAAAAAATTAACGAATTTTAGTGTGTACCTATCCTTGAATTTTCAGAGTAATTTAAAAAAAATATTTTCTATAAAGTTTCTTTAAAGTTCTTTAAAAAAATCAATGCGGGCACTTATTCCCAATGCGGGCTTGTATTGGTCAGACACCAATAAACATAAAATAACATAAGCAATAAGTCAATATTTTTAGTGAGAAGGATGAACCTGATGCTTTAATAATAAATTATCAACATTTGGCGTCAATTTTGTAAGGGTTAATCTTAAATCTCCTCGGCTAATGATGTCCACTCTGTTTCTTTTTTTCGTTAGGAGATTGGTAACAGCGCTGAACCCCCTTTCCACTAGGTATGACGATCAAAGGAAATTAAAAATTTCCTCGCTATATCCCATAATACGGGATAAGTAACGGGTATGTTGTTTTGCAGCCAGAATTGCTGATATCCGTTTTTAAAATGAACCTTAAGTTCTTCGTTTGTACTTAGTTTAGTCTGTTCCTCTTGTATTATGACATTCGTTTCTTCTATGTCACCATATGGTTTAATTATCCACGGTGGTATTACCATAGTCAAAATATCCTCAAACCTAGATTCAAAATCTGAATAGAAAGCATTTAAATGTTGAACGTAAGTTGAAACGTCGTCTTTCTGGCAGCTTGTCTGTGACAAATTGGGGAACTGAGAAAATTCGCCCCGTCCAATATTTTGCTTGATTGTTTAACTCTGACAAGAAACGCTGTTAAGATGGACTTTGTTTTAATCAAATTTAAACTGTAGCCTTGTAATTGCAAATTAACCATATTAAATTTTGAAAACAAATCTGTTAAATAGGCGATGTCTGTTTTCCTCTTCATTAAATTTTCTTTTAAAATTTTATCTTTAGTATCCAGAAATTCTACAATAGTCTCAAAAAGTGCAAAAAATCTTGTGTCAAACATCAGCCTTTCGACAGCCAGCGTACTTCAGTGTAAAGGAGTAATTGATGAAAGTGTTCGCCATTTTCTTCACACAACTGCGCAAATCACCGCGTATTCAACGCGTTGCTTCGGATTCGGTTTACTGCATCAATGACTAAATGAAGTGATTCATGCAATCTAACAGACAAATTTTTAGCAACTAAATGTTGTCGATGGATGACGCAATGTATTGCTACAACCCTGACACATTTTGTTTTAAATAGCTTATAAATCCACGATAACGTCCAACCATGGCAGGTGCTCCATCTGTAGCTACTGATATTATATTTGATAAAGGAATTGCTTTTTCAATGAAGTAATCCTTCAAAACATGAAATATTGATTCACCTTTAGTGTCGGTTATCAAAGTTCTTGCGAAGAGCAGTTCTTCGTAGATTTCTTGATTCATAATAAAACGAACATATTCCAATAATAATGCTGTATTATCAGGCAAAGTTGACTCGTCCAGTTGTATAGAGAAATGGGTCGTTTGCAAATAATTACATAAGAAGCTTACAATTACAGAACTCATTTCATCAATACGTCTTTCAATAGAATTGTTGCTTAAGGGAATTCTTTTAATGGTATCAGATGCAGGTTTGTGTAAAACAGTTTTTAAAACCTCTTCAACGGCTGACAAAATTAACTTCTCTCCGATAGTATGCGGTTTTCCGGATTTTGCTATAAGTAACGAGATATTGTAAGACGCCCGCAAACCATCATCATTTCTTGGTGACGTCGAAGCGAACATTCTGTCCAGTGTAGGTCTCTTCTGAAATTTATCTTTGAGTGTTTGAAAGTATTTCAAATCTTTCTCTGTTTTATCAGGGTGGCATCTTCTCAGATGATCTTGCAGTTTAGATGGTTTCATAGCGTCATTGCCCAAAACTTTGTTGCATAAAAGGCACATAGGCGATTGTTTGTCCGGCAATGATGGAATGAAGCCAAATTTCAAATAATCGACACTGTACTGTCTACATTTCTTTTTAGATTCGGACATGGCATCAGTCATCTGTGGGCAAAATTAAATTATTTAAATAAGACAGAAAATCCAGCAGCTGTATATTAAAAATATTTTTTGATTTTTCCGAAAACATTCCATAATCTTCTTGCAACAATTAGCTCGAATTACGGAGATTGCACTGTAATTATATTACCGATTGCTAAAACTTTCAAAAAGAAACTATTGAGGAGTACTCGTGTAATTTTGCATGATTGAATATTTAACTACTAATAACTAAAGTCATGATTGCCGTAATTTATCTATCTTTGCTAACTGCGAGTACAAAACTAAAATTTAATAAAAAATAATGTACTTACTTTTCTCCAGCACTCTCAAACAAAATAACACTGACTCACTATAATTTGTGTGATATACTATCTGTTTATATTTTTTAAAATATTTTCTTAGCACTTTCCTTTTCAAGATTCAGGAAACGAATAAACGTATTCGTCCCACATTCGTATTTATAGAGTGACGAATTGAACAAGTCAGTGCAAGGTAGCGAAGCTCTGAGACTGCGACTGTCAGGTTTTTACAAGTTCAAAATGTATTGCGACCACAAAGCGAATACCAACATCCTACAACTTACACAATTTTATAAACATATATAATAAATTTTTTACTTCATAGGTACTTTTATAAATAATGTATACGTATATGTTTTGATATTATAAGTAAATAGGTACTATCAGTGTATGTGTTGAGATCCACTATCGTGGACCCCCATATTCATTTCATGGACCCCCAAATTTTTTTTCGCTGACGTAGATCCCTTGCAGGTTGTCATAGACCCCTGGGGGTCGATATAGACCACTTTGGAAATCAATGATTTAGACGTATTTTTTATTCTAGAAATATTGCTACTGTGTCTTGAATCACCTTGAATGCATAACCTTAATTTTCTATGAAACATTCTTTTTCCAAATATATCTTCTAATTCGCAAATAATGATAGATAAAGAGGCGAGCTGCAAGAAAAGAAGAAGAGCTTTTGAAGAAGCAAGCGATAGAAAAAAGAAATTTACCCAAGAGAATTAGATCGGAAATGAAGGCACGTGAGGCTATGTTCAGGGAATCGATGAGGATATCTATATCTGGCAGCAACGATCCTGAAGCAGAAAAAAATAGGTTCAAAGAGGTAAGTGCTAGCGGTAACGCAGTTTACAAGACTAAAATTTTCAGACCTCTGACGTCTGTAAAGTTGATCCACTTTGTTGGGAAATTTAAAACTTGAAACTCTTCAGACTGAGGTGGTTTTTTAGTGTGTGTGTTCGGTCAATAATATAAAATATCTACAAAATTTGTTTAGAAAATTATAGGCAATACTATTCTTGGAAAATATGGGGCTCTGTACATAGCCTTTGGCAACAAATACATGCATTCATTTGAATGAAATGCTATATACAGTGTGAGTCTTATAAAGTGCACATATCAAAATCAGGGAAACTACATTCTATTTCGTCGACGGATAAATCATCAAAAAAAAAAATTAAAAACAATAATTGATTTTTTATGAATATTTTAAAATTTTTAGTCAGCTGCTAACCCTATTTAAATAAATTGTTACAAATTTTAAACTGAATGTCCTATCATATTGGAATAAATTTTGTAGTGATTGCAAATAATAGGCCGTACCAGTAAAGTGAAAATTTCCACGAAATTAAATGCTATAAATTTAAAATAAAAAGGAATATGCTGAAACTCACTATTTTTTCAATGATTTTTAAAACAATTGCTAAATTTCAATAAAAATTGTCCTATTTACCCTACCTTTTTTAAATGTTAAGTTATTCTACATGTTATTAGCTTCCTAATGGTGAAAAATTGCAAGTTTATTACTTAGATACAAGTTTTTAAATCAGCGTTTCAAAAAGCAGTGAACTCAGTTCAACGCCAGAGTAGGAATAAAACAACACTATTAACCTACATGAATCATTCATTATCTTTAACAAATAAAATCAAATAGACTTGTCTATAGGATAATCATTTTGGCTTAATGCATCAAATGTTCAAAATGGCCACCCCGTTGCTGCAAACACATTGTAGCGCGAAGTGAAATTTGATGAGTTGCCGTACGTATCATCTCGGGATCATTTTTGATTTCGTTTGCAACACGCAAAACTCTTTCTTCAAGTTCCGCTTCGCTGTTTTATGGAACTGCTGTACACCCTTTGTTTTATTGTCCCCCATAAAAAATAGTCGAGAGGTGTGAGATCTGGGGAACGCGCCGGCCACCCAACAGGTCCTTGTCGACCGATCCAGCGGCCTGGATAATTTTTATTAAGAAAAGACCTGACAATCAGCGAGTAATGGGCAGGACATCCATCCATTTGAAGCATCATTCTTCGACGGGTTTGCAGCGGCACTTCTTCCAACAGCAAGGGCAGTTCAGTCCGCAAAAGCTCCAGAAATCTCTCTCCGTTTAATGTCCTCGGGAGTATTATTGGACCAATCAAAAAGTTGTCAATCAGTGCGGCCCACACATTTACAGAAAATTCCACTTGAAATGTTGAAGCCCTTTTCAGCCTAGGGTTTTCATCTTTTGGGCACCACTTATGTAAATTACGACAGTTCACGATGCCGTCTCTCGTGAATTGAGATTCATCTGTCCACAGAATTGTTTTCGGGAATTCAGGATTGTCTCTTGTTTTTATTAAAATCCATGTAGACATAACGCACCTTGGACGCCAATCCACATTTTCATGCAAGTGCTGCACCCTTTGATAATGGTATGGATGCAACCCTGCTTTCCTCAAGATGCGCCAAACCGATTTATGGGATACGCCATGACGTAACGCCAAACGTCTCGTACTAGTAGTCGGGTCAGCAAACAAATCATCCCAAATGGCTTCTTCGATAGCAACAACACCTGGTTCGCGGCGATCTCGAGGCAAACCAAGTCCAGTGTTAGCCAGTCTTCTATGTACTTCTTGGAAGTTACGGGCTGATGGAACAGGGCGTCGATTTGGAAATGCAGCTAGATAAGCTGTGCAAGCAGCTCTAGCACTCCCTCGGTACATTCCATAATAATAATGGATATCGGCAATGTGTGCCGGAGGGTAATCACTTATACGTGGTATCGCGACCAGAAAGCGAAAGCGTGATATGTAGCAAACGAAACTGATAAAGTTTTCAGGAGAAACACAAATAGCTGCCTAACTGCCCAACATTCAATTGTTTTTCAACTGGGCCCGCCTCCCCACTCGTACTTCAGCCCGCGCGACTCTACATTGAATCATCAAAAAAAGGTATCTACATGATAAACAATGGTGCCTAGCAAGACGATGCGCATGGGCTTTTTTATAAACACTCATAGAAACTGTTACATTTGAGTAATAAACGTGCAATTTTTACTTTTATAAAGCTGATAATATGTAGAATAACTTACAAATAAAAAAAGGTATGGTACAAGCGACGGTATTTATAGAAAATTTGAAATTATTGTAAAAATGATGAAAAAAAAAACAGATTTTCATCATAATTTTCTTTATTCTAAATGGATGTCATTACTTTTCCTGGAATTCTTCACTTTTCAGGCACGTCCTTCTACCAGCAATCACTACAAAATGTATTCCAATATGATAGGACATTTAGTTTAAGAGTTGTAACGAGTTATATCAATATGGTTAGAAGCTGCTACTGAAAATTTTAAAATATTCATATATTCATAAAAAATCAAATTAATGTTTTTTTGATGATTGATCCGTCGATGAAATAGAGTGTAGTTTCCCTGATTTTGATATGTGCACTTTATGAAGACTCACACTGTATATTTCACAAGCACCTTCAAAACAAGAATTTTGATATACCACTACAGTTTTTGGATCGCTACTTCTGGAGCTACGGTATATTTTGTTTGAAAAACTAAATTTTGTCAGCGGGTAGTGATCTTTTCTTCAAAAAGAATGAATGTTTCTCTACCTTTCAACATTTTTTAAATTCCATGCAACATCAAAACTATATCTTAAACGTTTCTTTTTTTAATTCATGCTACATACAACAGGGTACTTGAGGTTTATAGACGCAAATCGCACTTTTTGGATAAAACGTGGCAGACAGGATTGCAAATTGTAATCTGGAACTAAATTCAGTAACATTTTCTCATAAAATTTGACAGACGACGGCCTTTTGGCTATTTTTTATTATAAGTAATATTTTGGCATATATTTTTTGAGGGGATTAAACTGCTAAATATTTGAGTTATTTTTAGTTTTCCTGAAATTGCATAATCAGTAAGTAAGTGCAAGTGACATACCATCAAAGTATACAGTTTGATCGCAAAAATAGCAAAAATGAAAAATTGTTCAAATTAGATAAAAAGACTATAAAATCATAAGTAAGAATCAACTTGGATTTCAAAAAATAGTACGAATGCTCTTTTCAGTTTACTTCATCAGTTTTACTCAAATTTAAACAATAACCAAATTTCAGTTGCCCTTTTATGTTATTTTTTCAAAGCTTTAAACAAGTAGGGATGTACTGGAAGTTCGCTCATGAGTTTGAAATGTATTTGAATAATCAATCCCAAATTGTAAAAGTATCAAATTTTGAATATAAACGAATGTGTAGCTCAAGGATCAGTATTGATCCGATTATATTCTTAGTGTATATCGATTTATTAAATTTAAACATAAATGGCAAATTCAAAGCTTCTGCTGGCGATAGCACAATACTTTAACAACAAAACAGATACAAATGAAATTGCAACAAAAATTAACAGTGATGAGCAGCACATTTTCCAAGTTAGGCGCCTATAATTTTCCTAAATAACATTATTTTGTTTGTTTGTTGAAGATTCATTTAGCATTAATGCTGCAATGTCAGTTTTGTATTATTATTCGTTTAAAAGCTTTTTTAATCTTTTTTTTTAATTTCCTCAAACATTTTTACACTGTTTAATATCATTATTCCAATTTATTAAATTCAAATACTACCTTTTAAATACAGATTTGCTATAATAATTACTAAATAATATATACATTTTTTGCATTCAACCACTGCACTTCTAACATAGGCTTAATCATAGCATATTTGTTTTTTTAAATGATCCTCAGCTTTATTTTGTGAAATTTGTAATTTTGAAAATATGTTTTCATTTGCTGTAAACAAAATGGTTGAACAATATAAAAAGTGGGGAAGAACTCTGGTGTTGTACGCATATTTTTTTATTTTGAATACATACTGGGATTATAGGAAACTCTATAAAAGTAATTTATCTTTTTCGATATTTTTGACATATATTATATTCATAATGCTCTTGAAACGTAGTATACTATCCATATATATATATATATATATACAGGGTGTCCGCAAAGTTGGGGTTTTCCTTTTCAGAAACAACTACCCTTGAAATAACAAAGGTAATGTGTAGTGAAACGAGGGCGACCAAGTAAAAAAAAATAAAGGAAAAAGTACTCACTCTCCAGTTGACGAGAAGGGCTAAGTACGTCTCTGCCCGAAATCATACCGCTCCAACAGAAAATGAAATCTGCTGATGCACTACCGCGCATACGCCGGCCGTGGTGCAGACCACGAACAGAGTTAACAAATATGACAAATTTGGGAGAATAAATGGTCCAATGAGCATACCGTTCACCATGCCAGCCCAAACATTCACCGAAAATGTTTGTTGAAAATGTGCCCGACGGACAGCGTGCGGATTTTCTACTGACCAAAAATGAGTGTTGCGAAAGTTATTCACCCCATTACGCGTGAACGTAGATTCGTATGTCACCAATATGCACTTCAAAAAGTCCGGATTATTGTCATGTTGATGCAACAACCACTCACAAAACCGCACTCTTGCTGGAAAATCTTCAGGTTGAAGGGCTTGTACACGTTGGACGTGAAACGGATAGAGCCCTCTTCACGCAGCGTTTGTCACACTTTAGTTTTTGATACTTGCACTTCTCTAGCCACGTCTCTAGTGCTTGTTGTTTTTTGAAACGCAATCGATTATACGGGCTCGTTTACCTCTACACGCGTGACCGTAACCGTCGGTTGAAGGTTGCATACTGACCTGACACACTGACCTCGACCCAGTTTTGTCGTCGGGTTGAGCTAGTGTCCTAGTACCATTCGGGGATATCGCGGCTACAGGACGGTATTCAGATATTTTTGATGTTGCAGAGCCCTTTATCTCAGTTCCCTTAAGACATTGGTGTATATGGTACTAAGAAAAATTGCTTATGTTTTCAAGATCTACACGTCGTGTAAAGGAAAACCCCAACTTTGCAGACACCCTGTATATATATATATATATATATATATACAGGGTGGCCCATCCATGTGTGGACGGAATATTACTCATAAACAGATACATTTTGGGAAAATCTATTTATGGAATGTTCTACACGACATTTGAGGGCACATTTCTAAAATATTGGCCATTATACAGGATGTCCCAATTTCGACCTACATATCAAAGTTGTGATTTTTCAAATGGAATGCCTCAAATTTTATTGCATATTTGGATAAACCAATTCAGAAGAAGAAAAATGATATAACATACTATGGGGTTTTGATAATTAGCTACTGAGATATAAGGTGGTTTGTCCAGAAGAACCCCCACTTCGGCAACCCCTCAGTCCGCCATTTTGAAATTTGGATTGCTGAATTTTGTATAAAAAAAGTTTACACACCTCAGCTTTTATCTTATCTGTTACTTTTTCGAATTTTAATTTTTGCTCATACAGCGTGGTCAAAAACGCAAATTGTAATTTTCTCAAAAATTTCAAATGCATCACCCTGTATATTTATGCAAGTTTGGATTCAATTCTTTATAAGCTTTTTTTCAAATACCAGCACGTCTTTTATGGAACGGTTTAATTCCCTAAACCTTGGAGACAAATAAATTGTTGATTAGTTACAAACTGTCAAAATTAGCTTTGTGAGCATTATAGTAAAAACGTGTTTGAAAATGAATTTTTCTAAAGAAGAAATGCTGAATATGGTGTTCGTTTGAAATAGTTTCCTAGCATATCGCATTTATAGGCAACGGTACCCTAATATGCGACATCCAAGGAAAACATTTTCCACACTACGAGAACGTGGAGCCGTGGATCACCTTACATATCAGTAGCTCATTACCAAAACCCCATAGTATGTTATACCAATCTTTTTCTTTTGAATTGGTTCATCCAAATGAAATTTGAGGCATTCCATTTAAAAAATCACAACTTTGATATGTAGGTCAAAGTTGGGACACACTGTATAATTGCCAATATTTTATAAATGTGCCCTCAAATGTCGTGTATTACATGCCGTGAATAGATTTTCCCAAAATGTATTTGTTTATGAGTAATATTCCGTCCACACATGGATCGGTCACCCTGTATATACCCAGATATTTAAATGATTCGACTATTTCAATTTTGTCATCATCAATCGTGAGCCTAATTGCAATGGCACCTAAATGTTTCCCTATTGATATCTTCTATAATAACCACGCTATCGATCGAGCACCCACGAAAAACTCGCGCTGTATATCTAAATTGTAATTGAAACATTTGTTCTCGGCAGTTTCAAGAGAAAGAAAAGAAACGTTACCAAGCTGAGCAGCAGAGATTCGAGCTGAAACATCAAAGACAGTTAGAAGAATTACGAGCGATGAGCGATGCTACTGTTAAAGAGTTAGAACAATTACAAAACGAGAAGCGTAAAATGCTGTTAGAGCATGAATCGTTGAAGCTGAAACAGCGCGATGAGGCTTTCAGTATCGAGTTGAAAGAGTGGAAGGCAAAACTGAAACCTAGGAAACAGGTGAGTTGAAGCATGTATTCAGCCTTTTTGAAGTTGTTTATTTTACTCCGATGCATGCGTTAAGTGTTTCTTTAATGAACCAGTGACTTGCAGGTCTAAAAATGATTTATGGGTGGAAATATACTAATATCGATACTATGGTTTTAACACAACTTAGATAACGATCAGCTCGGAAACTCTTCTGTCATTGTCATCAAATAAAACTAAATGGAATAACGTCGAAACAAGTTAGTATTCCGTTAATAATCAATCCGTGTCACTGTAGCATATCCTGCTACCAGCACCAAAAATGCTATTTCTGTACTTACGCGGGAGTTGTGGCTTTTGTCCCCAGCAGTCTTTCTTGCTCCGGAGACAGGAAGGACATACTGTGGCCTAACATCAACTCCAAAACATCCCCCAAATCTATTTGCTTCCTTTATCCTCCAACCGTAACTGGGTTGACCTACTTGAATGCCTCGCTATCAAGGTCGACTTCCTTCTCCATCTTTCCTTGGATAGATGTGCGCCGGTTGTTTGTTCATTGATAACCGAAATGGTTGATTCAAAATTATATTTCTCTGTGATATCTAGTCTCTGTCAGATTTGGAAAAGTTATAAAATAATAATTCACAGGAAATTTGGTGATGCGCTACCCATGTAATGCACACAAAAATAAGCAAGTGTCTGATTTCATTTACATTTTAATCAAATATTATACTGCATTCTGCGGGCCTGTAACCTGTCTTGGTGAAGTGTTTTCTGACGTAATAAACATCATTTCATGGCTTTATCAATTAATACCATTGGGAACGGCCATTACGTATTGAATAATATTTTTTAATATACAGGGTGTTTCAGTTTATTGTTGCATAACTTTAAGATTCGATAGAACTTTTAAAATTAATGCATAAAGTCTATATAAACATGGGTCGAAAAATGCGTGGCTTCCAAAATACAGGGTGTTCAAATTTACTTTCTAAAATAGTTTTTTTTAAATATTTCGAACAATATTTGATGTATAACAGAACATTGGTATACAAGGGTTTTTTGGTACGACAAAACGAACCATGGGCATAGTTTTACTGTAGCCGCTACAGGGCGCTCTGTACTGTACATGTAGTGTATTAAAATGACAGACAATTTTTTCTTAGTGCAATTTTTTGCTTTTTGAAAAAAACTGGTTCTCTTCAACACAAAAAAGCTCTCCTGTGAGTTTTCGTTATAGTTAGCCGTTTTTGAGATATTTCGATTTTTAAGGTTTGATGCATTTTTAATTATTTACATTTTCGATTTGGGCATTACAAGTAATTAAGATGATCGTTTAGATTGTGTTTTTAAACACAGCAATAATTCCTAACTCCAAATAAACACAAAAAAACCGAATATTAATTTGTTTAATTTTCCAATATTTTTTTTAACAAATTAAATTATTTACAACTAAAATGCTATTGGATAGTTATGACAAACATACAAAATCTAAAGTAGTTGCTCGAAATAAAAAACCCAATTGTTCAATACACAATTCACATCTACGAATGATCGAACGTGGTATAGCATTATTCAAATAAGGCCTTATTTCATTACATGCATTCCTGATTCTGTCTATTAGCATATCTCTTGTGGTTACGGGAGTCTGGTACACTTTTTCTTTTAGAAATCTCCACACAAAGAATTCTAATGGATTTAGGTCAGGGGATCGTGGAGGCCAGGCGACTGGTCCTCCACGGCCGATCCATCTTTCTGGATAATTTTCGTCCAGCCAGTTTCTAACTATTCTCGAATAATGAGCTGGACAACCATCAAGCTGGAACCAGGCCAATCTACTTAAATCTAACATAACATCATCCCACATATTTGCATGTTCAGCCTTTAAAAATTCCAAGAAGGTCGCAGCATTTAACCTTGCAGGCAAAAGATAGGGTCCAAATTGTCGATTACGGTAGATACCAATATACACGTTCACACTAAATTCATGTTGAAAATTTCTTTCCCTAACTGCATGCGGGTTTTCATGCGACCAAATATGTTGATTATGAAAATTTACCACTCCACGTCTAGTGAAGGATGACTCATCGGTCCATAAAACGTTTCTTAAAAACTCCCTATTATTATCAGTTCTATCAAGAATTCACTGACAAAATGTGATTCTTCGTTCTCCGTCCCTTGGCTGTAGTCCTTGCACAGGTTGCAAATGGTAAGGACGTCTATGGTCATTTCTAAGAACACGGTGAACATGGCTTGCTGAAATTCCCAAGGCACCAGAAACTCTCCTAACATTTGTGGTCGGATCTCTATCAAACTCACGCAGAATCATACGGGTAAATCTGCGCTGACGAACATTTATGTGTTGAGCCCTTTGGAGATTTCCAAAGCCATTTTCAATTATTTGGCGATGCACTCTTACAAATACTGAGCGAGTAGGATGTCGTCTGTTTGGAAATCTTCGTGCGTATTCTCTGACTGCTTCTGCTGCGTTTCCATTTACAAAGCTATACACAAAATAAATATCCACTAACTCTTGATTGAAGAATAAAATTGGCATTTTTATAAAACTTACAAAAAAAAAAACAGGTAAAAGAAACTAAATTTCGTGCATTCACAATTGCAAAAACACGTTTCAGGTTTCAACAGACAACAAAACTAACTGTCAACTAATTGACGTTTAACCTTATTCTGCATTAAATTTCAAAAATATCAGGCACAGCCTACTTCTAAAAATTATCGAGATACTGACTTTTTAACGTTATTTTATCATAAATAATTAAAAATGCATCGAACCTTAAAAATCGAAATAGAGAGAGCTTTTTTATGTTGAAAAGTGCGAAGAATCATTTTTTTTATTCAAAAAGCAAAAAATTGCACAAAGAAAATTTTTTCGGTCATTTTAATACACTACAGGCACAGTAGAGAGCGCCCTCTAGCGGCTTCAGTAAAACTATGCCCATGGTTCGTTTTGTCGTACCAAAAAACCCTTGTATACCAATGTTCACTGTTATACATCAAATATTGTTCGAAATATTTAAAAAAAACTATTTTAGAAAGTAAATTTAAACACCCTGTATTTCGGAAGCCACGCATTTTTCGACCCATGTTTATATAGACTTTATGCATTAATTTTAAAAGATCTGTCGAATCTTAAAGTTATGCAACAATAAACTGAAACACCCTGTATAACCCATTCGTAGTCCATTTACGCACAGACAAAACACAGCATGTCCAAAAGCGAGTTGTACAGGATTATTTTTATAACTTCGCTGGAAGGATTTGAATCATCATCCGAATGGTTAATATTAATTATTACAGATTCAATTTGAATATCAATCACATTGTCCAGATCCCACATCTTTGTTTCGATTGCCTCTTGAACGTGACCGGTGCAATCTTTCCAATTGTTTGCCGTCACTCTGTTGACAGCTTCATAAAACAAATTTTTCACGACAGAAAATTTGAATGTTCTCTTGTTTGAAACCACAAAGTTTTGCCCAAATCATTTCAATCGAATTTAATTCCCAGTATTTTATTAATACACCAACATGTATACGTATACATAATTCGTTATAGCATAATACTCACTTATACATAAAAAAATTCATTAGACTCCCTTAAAAAAAATTAATTGAAAAAAAACTGGAACTATGAAGGCCAAAAATATATAGACAAAGCAAAACAATTATAGAAAAAAGAAGCAAAGTTCATTGAATTATAGAAAACCAACCATGTTTGTGTTAATATTTGGTAGCATAACCATTATTATCAATCACCGCCTGGCATCGTCTCGGCATAGATTGTAGAAGTTTCTTGATATACGATTCATCAATCTGTCTCCCATTTGAGAACTGGTATTTTTTCATCCAGAAAGAATTTCTTTGCGAGATTTGAAGTGTGCTTGGGGTCATTATCTTGCTGAAAGATTGATCTTAAGGGCATATTGTCTTCCATATAGGGTAACATGACATGCTTTAGTATGTCTGTGTATACAAACTTATCCATAATGCCATCTATTCTATGTAAAGGTCCCATCCCAAACCCTGAAAAGCACCCCCAAACCCCCCCGCTCCATCTTTGTCCACTAGGACGTCTAACGTAATTAGCACTATCTGATCCAAACATATTGAACTTGGATTCGTCACTGAAACATACCCTCTTCCAGTCACAGATGCTCCAATCAAGATGCAACAGTGCAAATTGTAATCGGTCATTACGGTTTTTCATCGAGATTAGCGGCTTCTTACTCAGGCGACGTGCAAATAACTTCAAATCATTTAATCTTCTACTTATAGTTTTCATAGAAACACTGAAAATTCCTTTTGTCTCGATTTCGGCTTTTATTTGTCTTGGGGTTTTAAACGGATCTTTGGACGAAATTACTTTTATTAATCTAACTGATCTAGCATTTATTTTTCTAGGCCGACCACTTCTCTTAGAGGCTTCCAAGATATCTTTTTGTTTATATTTGTTCAATATTGCCCAAACTGCTTTACGCTTCAGCTTTAAATTTTTGGCAATATCGACTTGACGTTGACCATCTTTGTATAACTCCAATGATCTTAGTTTTCACATCTAAGGAAATTTCTGGACCACGCAGTCTTAATCACTCAACTTATTCCACAATACTTGATGAGCACAAACTAATCCTCTTCTGACACGAAACTGTACTAGACTAATGTTGAAAAGAATTTGTCTACATATTTTTGTCCCTCATAAAAAAGTGCTTATATTCAGACTTGTATTGTGTTCATTGCAAATAATGTAAAAACAAGGAATTTAGTTTTTCTACTAATAACGCATTTGTTTATGAAGCAATGAAGTATGAATTCGTTTTCTAAAGGTATTTAAGTAAATATTCATTTTTGTTTATATACTTTTGTCCATTACTGTATATCTAAGTTTAGTGTAGCTAAGTTTTCAGCGTGAGCTTATATATTCAGTCTGCTTGACACCATTTTTACAACACAAATGACGAATTGGTTAGATACAAGTACCTGGCGTTTTACTATTATTACGTACAACACTGGGCT